ATATATATATATATATAGAGAGAGAGAGAGAGAGAAAGAGAGAGAATGAAGGGATAGTAAAAGCAACTATCAAAATTTTGGGATGTATTTTGACTATCATTGCTTTAATATTAATATAAAATGTATTTGATCATTTAATTTAATGATTGGTTAATAATTTTATATTAAAAACAAATTTTTCTTCATTTTCAAATAAAAAGGAGATAATGTACTATATAACCCCCGAATTATTGAATTTTATTGGATTTGATATTTAAATTAAAAAAAATTATTAAATAGGTACTTAAACTCTAAAATCGTATATCAATTTGGTTTAAGAATTAGCTTTATTAGTCAAATTGCTCACTTGATTATTTTAACCAATAAAAAACTATCATCTGGATATAAAATGATATGTCAACTTAAGTTGTTACATACATGTCATGCTTATATGGTTATATATTGATAAATCTAAAAAAAAATTTAAAATTTTTTTTCATTTTTGCTTTTCTCTCTTCTTTTTTCTCTCTCAAACATAAAACCTTAGAATTTAAAAAGTGAAGAACACATCCACCAGATTTTTCTATTTCCACAAACCAATCACTAGTTACCTTCATCATCGGCCAACTGACCTCCATTGACACCTAAATTTCACCACGAGCTTCCTCTCAGCCTTCTCGTCTTTGATCTAAACTCGAATTTTCACAAATCGACTTCCATTGTCCTAGATCTAAAGCTAAAATCGTAGCCTTTCAAATTCTTCTCATTTTCTCTCTTAAATAAGTTTTCAAAGAATCCTTCAAGAATTAAAGATTAAAATTCAAAAACCACAGCTTTCATTATCTTTTTTGGCATTAGGTCTACCATTAACATAAAGTCTTTTTTAAAAACAAAACTCAAATCCCACAATCTTAACTTAAAATTTTAATATCGAAACTTTAATCTCTTTTCCCTTTTTTGTGCCTTTGGTTTTTTGTGATTGTGGGTGTGGATTGTAGTTGTTTTTTATTGAGTTCGAGTATGGTGTGCTGGATTTATTGGTTGTGTGCAAGATTTGGGTTTGGGGATGTTAAATTGTTTGTTAGTATTTTCAGGTTGATGAAATTTCAAGGTTATGACTATTGAGTTGCTTGAGTTTTCTTTGTGTCGCTTGTAACTTTCAGTTTTTGCTTGTGGTTGATTTTGGTTTGGAAATGTTGATTTGGCTTATAGATATTCGCTTAAATGCTTTCGGTCATTTATGCTAAAACTTTTTTTTGGTTGACTTGATTTTTGAGTTTGGATTTCAATTCTTGTGTTGTTGAGATTGTGGGTTTTGCTAGGTTTCTTCAATTGTCTAGTTTTAAGGCTTTTTTGTTTTTTGTTTGATTGAAAATTTTTGACTTGTGTTTTTGAATTCTTTTATTAGGAAATTAGGTCTTTTGATTTTGAATAGGAAGATGATAAAGAAGATTTTTTTTAAAATTTTTAAAATAATTTCTTTAAATGTTGACATGATATTGATGATAGAGTGTTGATTGAACTTTTTTTTTTATAATTATCAATATTTTATTGGATATTTATGCTATATCAGTATTTAGAGTTAATGGTTAAGGCAAATTAACATACGAAAATGTAGTTTATGTATTTGATTAGAAAAATTTTTATTTAAATACCATATTAAAAAAATGTAATAGTTCAAGAGAAGGGCATATAGGACATTATCCCTACAAAAAAGATAAATTATTTTCAGATGATGGATCAAATATATGACTATAATTGCTTAAATGTTTTCTGAAGAGACATAAACTCTCACTTTTAATCAGAGATCACCAAAGGTTAAAACGGTAAGGAAAGTTTGTTTATGATTTTTTAAATATCTGGGTTTGCATCTATTAAAATATTATAAAAAATAATTTTTCATAGATTTATTAAATTTAACGTAAATAAATCTATTTATATTAATTAAAAAAAAATGTATGCCGCACAAAACCAAATAACTCCTTATCACTCAATAAAAAAATGGTTGGAGGCCGACCAAAGCTGTGCGGTTTGTAACAAATCCACTTAACCAGCATATCCTCCAGTCGCAAAGAAAATGCAATGCTGAAAGAAACAAGTTAGAATAAAGGTTGAAAATATTAATTGGTACATTTTGGAGATAACTACGCGTACCTGCCTGAATTGTTGGGCCATATAAACATTACCCATAGTATTCTATTCTTCTTAACAAAATCTGACCTAATCTTAATTGTTGCCCTCAATGCCACTTGCAAATAAAAATTAGGCCAATTGGGAAAGCAGCCTCAGATCCAAACAAACCACGAGCATGCTAAAACACTTGCTTCGTTGCTTCTTCAATATTTCCCTTTTAAAAAAAAAAAAAACCTAACTATTAATTTTCTTTCATGGTTAGCCTGCCAAACTGGAACGCCATCGGTCTCGTTTTTTGATTTTATAGACCACGAAATCAAAAAAATTAATTTCAAAAACTGCTGTGAGACCACGTGGGTAAGACTTAGATAAATTATTTAAATAAAGTTAGTGAAATTTTTTTATAAAAAAAAAAAATTATATAAAACTTTGTTTTGAAAATTAAAATTTAAAAATTTATAGAATTCCATAATGAAATTAATAATATCAAAACATTATTAAAAGATCATTTATAATTAAATTTTGATTAGTATTAATTCAACGGAAAATTTTGTTGTAATTTTTAGTAAAAAATATATTAAAATTTATTTAACTTTTAATATATAAAAGCTATTAAGTAATAATTTAATAGGATTTGAGTATGTAAGAAAGTTTTCATGCAACCAGGGCAAACTTGCACATCACTTAAGACCACGAGTTCTTGCATTCAAAATAGAAATATATATTCATATAATCTAAGATTGATAGAAATTTTGATAGTAATTGTCTATTACAATATTTAAAGCTTTATGATAGCTGTCATGCCACCCAAGAACATCTTTTGTTAACTATATATTGTCAAATTGGAAGAAATTAAAGCCTTTAGCCAATTTGCAATAACTTCGTTATCCAATAGAAAAAAAGGTAGTTGTAGGAATCTTAATTGTGAAATTCATGTAAGAAGTAAGAACATGAGGCAAAGGGGAGTGAATGGGGAGAAAATTCCACTTCCTGGCTGATAATTAAGGTTACAGGATGGGGAAAGGTATCTGATTTGAGTTTTTTTTTGGCCAACTTCTGATTTGAGTTCTAACATTTACTGTAATCTGAGAAACCCTACAATGAGGAGAATCAAGAGAAATTAAATCCTTTCCCCCTTTAAATAAATAAGAATAAAAAAATAGTCAAAAGGAAATGATTTGTGATTTGTGCAATGAATCATTTCTTTCTGTCAGCGTTTTCCATTTCAGGGTTGTCTTTCATTCATTTTTAGGATTTTTGAGGACTCTTATTCTTCATTCATTGTCCTCAAAATAAACACCAATGGCTAGTTCCGTAAGAAAAGCAAAACCCTTTTATACCATGATTTACTTGCCAGATTACTCAAGAAAGGACAATACATATATATTCTAATTCTAGCATCCCTTGTTCTAACAGGCAAGTTGAAGAACATTCCATGGGAAAGAAAAATATAATAATTCTGGGATTATGGCCTTGACGAAACTGGCTCTGATCATAACACGCCACGCTTGGCATCGATCCGATCGAAGTATGTACAAGTAGGAGACTTCTTCAAGTTAAGCGTCTTGATTCAGAGCACGTAGGGTACAGAGGATTGCAGGGAGTTTACACAACCGAAAAGCTTTGTTAATTGTTTTGTTTTATGTTTACGTGGGACATACAAACACCAAGTAATTACGTACCTTGAATGTTTCAGTGTTTGGCATATAGGAAAATTTCTTTTCCACACATATGCCTTTGACGGCCGCATTTGGTATGAAAGAACATTAGAGGAAAGTAATAAGAAAAAGGCTATGTGGATTGAAAGACAATGACCATTTTGTGGAAAAAAAAAAAAGGTGATCAAATCTCGGCGTAATTACTCTTTGAAGCGATATCGATAATTTGTACAATCACACGGTTTTGAGATACCAAAGTGCTTGCTCTCCAACTCCAACTCATACTCCAATTCTTTTGTCTTTTGTTTTTTCAAAGGCAATTATGTTAAAAATAACCAATGTACTAAATGACCCATTGTTTTTCTACAAATTCGGTGTAAAAAGTAATGAACATGCCATTTAATCTTATGATAAATCTATATATCTAATTAATTTCCAAATTAACAAAATATATTACTAAAAAAATTAAATATAAACCAATTTTGGCATCAGTAGAATTGATTTTAATATTAAATTTAAAATTTAATTCAATTATTTCATAAAATCATTTTGATATTAAATAGATTCAAAATTTAAATCACAATACTTATAATTATTTTCTTTATCTTGAAGCTATGATGTTTTTTTTAGCATTGGATGGGAGTTGAAATTAAGTTAATTCAATAGTAGTATGTTGGTAGGGTATCTAACATGTCACAAGTGTCCCGTAAGCCACGCAAAAAGTATTGCAGGAATATGGGGTATTATCATCATCATGATTATGATCCATTGATCATGCCAACATGTGCATTTAAAGCATTTAACCACATGGGATCGATGATAGTTAGCGGTTTGAACTGTGAACCATATCCCCTAACATGGGCTGCTTTTCTTCTTTGTTAACACCACCGCCGTGACTGCCTACCTCTTGCCTGCTGTCCCTACGCTGTTCACGCGGCAAAACCCTTGCCTACTTATTTGCTCGCTTCATTATATAATAAAAAGATAAAGAATAAAATATATGTTCAACTAGGGAAAAAAAAGCTTGACTTTTTGCTTGGCTTCCGGTGAAAAGTTGAAATTCGAAGTGGGCTTCTATTTGGATAACATTCAGCAGCAGTGAGATTGGCTCATATGCAAAACATAAATTTTTTTTTTTATTGAGATTGGATTTGAATCTAATTATGACTGAAATTAAAAGTTTAAAATTCTATGACAAATCAAAGGATTTTGATGTCCAAAATATAATAATTGTTAGTGGAAATATTTTCTTGAATAAATGAATCAATGATTGCCGGCAGCTGACTACAATAGGGAGAGTTCACAAACAATGAACAAATTCACTGTACAGATCAATTCATCAAATACAAATCCCGTAATCAATGAAAATATTTGAAAAATTTTATCTTTGTAAATTTAATTAATTCTACAAATCCTAAAATTAATCTTGTGCTAAAGAAGAATCCGGCTTTTCTTCCTTAGCAATCAAGAAGCGTGGTTTCTTGGTCGGCAATGGACTTTCAACCTCTTGTTCTGCGTTGATTTGACTAAATCTTCCATCTTTATTTTCCCCACAGAATTCTGGTAAAGCAGGCAAGTTCAGGTCAAAGTTAAAGCCGACACGGTGGCTTTGGCTCAACGCGCCCCCGTCCAACAACGTCATCCCGCTAACGCTAACGTTACCACTTTTGTTAATATTGTTGTTGTTGCCACCTTCGTAGTGGCAGCGTTTGTGGCCACCCAAGGCTTGGCCTGTTGGGAAGGACTTGTGGCAGATGGAGCACTCATGGGCCCTACCGCTACCGCTGGTGGTGGTGCTGGCAGTAGATGGATTATCAGCGTTGATGGTAGAAGCGTCGGTAGAGGGTTTTCGGTGGCTGGCTTTATGCCCACCCAGAGCTTGGTAAGAAGGGAAAGCCTTGTTGCATACACTGCACTTGTATGACAACTTCAAAGCTGGAGGAGCAGCTGCTGATACTGATGTCGAGGAAGACTGACGATGATCATCACCACCGTTGGCGGCAGCGTTTATACTGTGGTTGGTGGAGCCACGAGCTAGCATGAGGAGACAGAGAGCAAGGTACTCTTCTTCAGTGGGTGGAGACTCGCTCCGTGTTCGTTTTGAACGTTTGCCTTTCTTCCATGTCTCGAGGTAATCGTTGTCGATGTCCTCGTATTTGTTGCTGAAAGGTGTAGCCATGGTAGGAGAATTCAGAGCTTCAAGAGCCATATTCTTCAAATTCTCCAAATTCAATCAAGTTTTTGAAAAAGATTGATAGAAAGATGGAAAAGAGGGGGAAGAAAGTGATACCCTTTTTGGTTTTTTTTTTTTTTGGGTTGAAGTTTGCGAGAGTGAGTTAAAAATGGTGTGGATGTAATGGGTTTATATATAGAGAGGAGTGGAGAAGGGGAGTGGGGGTGGGGGGTGAGTTGGTGGTAGGGAGAAGTGAGTCGGTCAACAAAGAGGAATGGTTGTGGGGAAGAGTGGGAGGTGGGATTGGAGACTGAAGACTGAGCTTCCTTTGAGATTATATGACCGCTTCCAAGTCAAAACAATGCTACGCCTGCACTTCTTATGAGTACTACTAATATTTAGGCTCCATTTAGTGAGATTAGCTAGAGTAAAATTAAAATATATATATATATATATTATAATTATGATTAAAAAAAGAAATTTAATAAAAAATCAATGTTCGATGAATTTTATTAAAGTTAATTTTTAAATTCAATTAATGATGTGATTAACTTAATTATATTACATTGACAATGTGATAAAATTCAAATGGACACTTAAAAATAGTAAACAAATCCATTTGAGTATTGAGTCTTAGTGTGAATCCATCACAATTCAAAAGATACAATTGGATAGATGATAAAATTAATTTTAATGAGACTAAAAATACTGATAAAAGTAAAATTAATTATTGTAATAATGTGATTAAAATTAGTAATAAAATAAATGATAGATTCAATAATAATGGTAGCAGTGAGATTAAGTGTAGTGAGAAGAAAAATTATTATTGAAGATATTAGATTAAAATATGGATATAATAAATTTAGTTAATATTTATGATATTAAAAATATTTTTTTTATCAAATCATAATTTTATATAATTTTAAATTTATTAAATTTTTATCATAATATTTTGTTATAAATAATTGAATACAAACAGTTATAAAATTGATTTGTAATTTTCAAATTTAATAAGAAAGTTTAGTCCAAAACTCACAAAATTAAAGGTAAAATTGTAAAAAAATGTAATCAACTTAGAATAAACTAGTGAACCTTTGCTGATTAAAAATTATATTAATTACAATAATTGATAATTTGAAATGCCCTACTTTGTTTTCATTAAGAAAACAATGGGAAATTTTCAAAAATTAAGATTAATAGTTGTAATACCGCTCGCCTTATTGCTCATAAAATTACCTTTCCCCCAGAAATTTTTTTTTTAAATTGGGTTCTTTTGTTTTTTATGAATGATGCCCCACGTTGACGGCTTACTGGCCAAAAAAAAAAGTTAAAAAAAAAAAGGTACCCATGACTTGGCGAAATATAATTGGCTCTGGGATAGCAGCTTGGCACATTGTAACTTATTTGTGCTCGTATTGGTCGTTCATTGTTGGTTGGCCTGTAGAAAGACAGCTGATTCCTGGGAAACATTCATTAATGGCCACGCGTCGAACTGGAACACGATTCCCATGATTATCAGCGTTGTTTTGTAGACTGAACAAATCTCCCTCTCTTTGCCACTATTACCCCTCTCCAATCTTCACTTTTTTTCAAATACAAGAAAATTTTTGTCTAGAAACCATCCCTTTTTTTTTTTCTTTATTTGCTTCAATTTTGCAGCATGTTGAATAGTTTTCATTAATCAGCTCCAATATGATAAATAAAATTAAATATTTCATATCATGGTGAAAATAAAAAATTAAAAAAATTATATATTTTTAAAAATTATTTCATTATGTGGATAATTTTTTTAAAAAATAAGAAATTATTTGATGAAGTCTGTGAGTAGGTTTTTAAAAAATATATGTTTAATTACATTTTATATTATAATCTTAAATTTTTTAAAAAATAAATTTATTAGTCAACCATTTTAATATTAGCATAAACTATAGATGAGGCCAAAATTATTCTTATTATTGGTCAAAATTTGATGATAATATTATTAAAATTGATATTTAAAAATAATAAATTTTAAAAAAATTAAGCATATAATATTTTTTTAATTACGTAATAGGGTAAAAATTTAAAGATAAATTTAAATTTTAAAAATATGTATAAGGATGTTTATGTAAAATCGGTAGAGTGCAGTTGTAGAACGAAGTGGGGGAATGTAGCTTCACAGACGCGAAACTGTCGGGGCATACGGCACGCAACGCGTCTGATAAGGATAACTTACACGTGGCACATTCGGTTGCTTTTGAACCACTTTCACGTGTTATTAATGTTATTACATAACCGACAAGTAAGTTCGAATGATCATATCAAAGCCGTCCACTAATTGGGAGTCTCCACCAGCACGCCACGTGGATTTTAATTCTTCTCCTGACACGCGGCACTTTTATCCGCTCAACACCCAGAAAGTGGATTTCACTTTTGCTCTGAAAGTGTGAAGTGTGTTGATATGGGTTGATATAGGTTATCTGTGATAGTATACGTGGCAATGATGTTATCACTGACCTGTATATTAGCTAGTAGTATACAATTTTGTCATACTAATAGGAAATTTCTTTATCGTACCATTGCACATATTATTAATATATTTTATTTATTTATTTTTGGTAAGAAGAAATTTAAAGATAGATAAATTATTTTATTTTTCATGTTAAGATAAAATATGTCATATCTGACAATTTAAAATGAATAATTGTAAGTAATGCATTCGAGATGATTCTATTAAGTAATTATCGATAAGATTTAAATTTAAAATCTCTTCATCGAAAAAGATAAATTTTAACTGATTGAACTAATCACTTGTTAATAATATATTATCTTTATATATATTGGATAAGGGAGGATAGTATTTTTTTATTTTATAAATTTGATTCTTTAGTCTAAAAATTCTAACTCATAACTTTCAAAATGTCGTTTCATTTCATAATTTTTGTTCACGTAACTTCTCTCTATTTGAAAAATGAATTTGCAAGATATTGAGAAAGATGATAAAAATGACTTGTCACGGAGAGAAAAGGTTGGGAACGCCGGAGATAATACTTTGAGGTCCGATGTTAAATCAGCAAACTAGGCTATATGAAAGGATATGAGAGCGAGCAAGAGAGTATAGAAAACTAGGAGGGTATTGGTTACGAATACTTTATTTGTGTAGTTTGATATTATCATTTATATTTTATAAATAATGACATATTTAATTAAATTATCAAATGTTAAATTTATTGAGGTGTTCGAGTGATCGTAAATGTAATTTCTAAAATATATCAATTCTTAAATTCTAAAGGCATGAAGTGTTTGTTTGGTAATGTTAACAAGATTATTCAAGCACATAGATTCTGATATTATTCATATTATTAGGAGCGTAAATAAATAAAATTTTAATAAATCATTCGTGAATATATTCAATTTTTATTCGTTTATTAAATTTAACAAATAATTTGATTGGTTATGATTTATTTATTATTTATAATCATGTGCTTTTATATATATTAGTTTAATATTTATGAATAAATTCGTTTAACTTAATCGAATCAAATACAAATATCTGATCATTTAAATGAATTAAATTTAAATAAATAAATAATTTTTTTATCAAACACGACCAAATAGAATATTTCAAAAATATATTAACAAATCACAAATATGATTCATTTAGAGCTTTATTTCTTAGCTAGCAATCAAAACTCAAAACATATTTATCAATATGCAACTCTCCATACAATAAAAAGAATTTGCCTAAAAAATTTAAGAACACGTGTAATGAGAATTCGAATTTTGCCATCTCTATTATCTACCCTTACCTTACGGGAAAAAAAAATCCACGTAGACATGTCGTAACTCCAGTCAGCTTTAGCCGATATTGGATCAGCATGAAAAGAGAAAAAAATAAGGGCAAGAAATCGCACGTAAACGAAGTCGTTGGTAGTATAAGATACGGCAGCTGTGGCGTCAAAGAATAACACCAAAGCCTATTACTCGGCAAGCTTTGATGGCTGAAAAGAGTTTTGATTAGGGGGGAATACTGTTTGAAGTAAAGGAAAACAAAGACAAGTAAAATCCGATGAGGTCATTCCTCGCATAATCACTTTCAATGGGAAAACAAGAATCGCGGCTGGCTTTGTTGTTTTTGTTCTTTTCTTCTTCCTTTTTTTTTTTTTTTTTGAGTTTCGTTGATGGAAGTGTGCTAAATTAGATGGTCAAAATGTCAAATTTCTTTATGTTTCCTCTGGTTTTTCCTGGCAACCAGATGGAACCTTTAAGTAAACTTGACAATTAGGTTTTTAATCAGTTTTAAGGAGACTCTTAAGTTACCTAAAAAGACTTTTGGTATTGACTAATCCATGTTTAAATTATATGCATCGTTTCATGGATTTGGTTGATTATAAGACCAAGTCAATCATTTAGTTCTGTCTAGTACTTTGAGTCTTTGATCAAATAAAAGATTTTTTTTTTATAAAAAGTCATAATTTGAGATACAAAATATAAGTATTAAAATTTAAAATTTATTAAATATTATATTTTAAAAATATAACTATATAAATTAATTAAATTAAATTTCAAATTCATCAAACAAAAGGAGTTATATGACCTACCCTTCATTTCCTATTTAACCCATATCAATATTTTCTCCCAATTATTGCGCTTTCTTTGTTTTTCCTGAAATTTATGATAAAATATTAAGTATTTGATAATGTCAGCTTCCAGGGTGTGAGGGGAGGACCTCAAGAAAAATGGTCTTTTTCAGCCTAGCTAGGAAAAAGCAGATGGGGAGCCCGAGAGCACAGCACAAGAACATAGGGCGAAAGGGGGTTAATGAAATTCGGCATGTCCTATTTTAGGAAATCGAATCAATCCTGTAGGATTTTAAGATTTGTTTAATGCAGTCATTAATGCCATTAAGAATTTAAGGTTTTCCAAACCATGCTAGAATTTTTTTTTTTTAAAGGTACGTCTAGCAGTTATGTCTCTTAATCATATATAGCTTGTTAGTTATGTTCTACAATTCACCATGCATGTCCATATATATATATATATATATATATATATATATAGTCAAAAAATAAACATTATTCACCCAAAATATCAATTGACTTTACTTCTAGTTGGAGCTGTGATGGTTAATGCCTAATTTGAGTTATGAAATTATCACAAGCTGCTTTGAATAAGTTGCATTTGAAGTTAAGCCAACTACTGTCTTGTTTATTTGTAGTGATGGACAATTTTAAAAATGTATCTTTATGGTCTTAGTCCTTCACAAATGGAAATGTTCATGACTGAAGGTAATCCCGTTCGTCGACAACTAGAAAAAGTTACCAAGGTTTGCTCCCTTTTAATCTTTGTTGATATCTGAGTTCATAGGTGATGGTTGATGTAACAAATTAATGTTAGAATCAAAACCGTTTCGCAATTTAATTTTTTATCCTTTAATCTAGAACTAACTTTGCCAACCTTTTCCTGGAAAGTATCTTATCTGCTAGTAACTATTTGGATAATGGAGGGATGTGGAGTATGTCAGGCGTTAATGATAAAGGTCCTTCTAAATGCAGTATGAGTGTAAGCATGTATAGTGGAGGGGCTAAAGGATATGGAAGGCCTGCAACTGCTCCTCCTGATTTGCCTTCTTTGCTGTTAGATGCTTGGATATGCTATCTTGGCATGCCAGTGAGTCTCCATACCATATCTCACCCGTAATCTTGCTCGGTGGCTAATTTTCTAATTTGTTGATTCTTTTTTTAATTTTGTTGCTGTAGATTTTACCGGCACTGACTGAGCTTGTTGTTGCTCAATTAATGTGGTTGGATTATGATAACCCTTCAAAGCCTATATACTTATACATCAATTCATCTGGGACACAGGTTAGAAGAACGTTTGTCATTCTTGATCAGTCCCCAAAACTCTTTTTGAAGCATTAATCCTACTGTGAAATTTCTGAATTATTTAGTACATACTACATTGGAACTTTGTATACCTATCTACGCTGATTGATTGCTTTTGTACTATATAGAATGAGAAGATGGAGACTGTTGGATCAGAAACTGAGGCATATGCTATAGTTGACACCATGGCTGCAAGTATTGTGATCAACAATTATTTTCTGTTAATAATTATGAATTTATCCTTCTTGGAATGAGGTAAAGTGCTGAAGAAGTTCAAGAATAGTATTTTATGACCACAGATGTGGTTTTTGTATTTGATTATTTTTGTTGTCTTGCACAAGGATCATTATGGGGTCCATTTGTCTGTGTAGTTATGATTTATAAGGAAATAGCTCGGTTAAATAGTTTGTCGGTATAATAAGTTATTAGTGTTCTGGATCATCATTCCTTATTTAGCAGTTGGATATGCTTTAAATTTAACTTGTTCTATCTATCTACTTGAAATACTGCAAATCAGACATGTACACTGTAAATTGTGGCATGGCATATGGTCAAGCAGCAACGCTTCTATCTCAAGGGAGCCAAGGGTTTTCGTGCAGGACAGCCAAATTCATCCAGTATGATTCAACTCCTATTTGTAACTTAGAAGATAAGCATAAATTCTTTTGAGAAATATGTACAATTTTCAACTCTATCCATGGTTGACAAAGCCATGAGTCTGGAATTGATTTTCACTGCCTTGTTAAAAATCATTTCTTTAGAACTTTATCATTCTACGTCCTGACTAAATGGTTTGCTATAGGACTGCAAGACAAAAAATTTGAGGTTCCTATTCGTTCTTTTTTCTTAAAAAGTTTTTTTTTTATCAGAATTATGATGAGATGCTTGCTCAATCAAATGCAATGAGAGGAGCTGGAGCTGGTCCGCAAGCAGCTCCTTCGGGGTTTAGGTGATTAAAAAGTACCAGTACAGCATGACCGTGCATGAAGTGAAAACTTGAGCTGTCTGCTCTCTGTTCAATATCCCATGCCAAGGCAAAGATGGTTATATTACAGATTTGATCTCACTTTTTACTCTTTGTTCAATATTTCATGCCAAACTGTGAGTGTTCGGATGAAATATAATGTTATATTATGTCTAACAAAAGAGGTTCAAGATTTTATGTTGTCATATGCTTTCAGGTAGCAACGATCCATTAATGTTATCTGTATTAATCTTGCGATCACAATGCAGTTCATGTTAACATATATTATTCGTAGAACTATCAAGAATGAGATGGATGTGATTTCAAAATATATATATCTCATTGAAGGGTTCCTGTAACTCTGATAAACAGCAATGATGGAAATGTGTGAATTTCATTTTCCATTCACCATATTTTCTTTCCCCCTATATTTTGGTGTTTGGGAGGGGCAAAACGATGATGGACAAGGCCACAGGGCCCCTGGAGAATGAAATGCTAATAGAGGTATAAATGACCAAAGCTTGGACGAACAATTCGTGAATATTGACAATTTATGAACAATTTTTATTTTTGTTCATTTATATTTATTTATTAAATTTAAAAATAAATTTTAAATAATATTTTTATTTTCGTTTATTAAACTAATTGAACACGAAAATCTATTTAATTTATGTGTATAAACAAATTCATTTAAAATTTGTTTAAAACTTATTCATTGAAAATTTATTTATTTTTATTTAAAGTTTATTTATTTATTATTCAATAATAATAATAAATTATTATTATTATATTTTTATCTTTTACCCTAATCTTATTATTCTAACACTTCCACTCAAATAAGTTTGCACCTTCAACCTATTTATTATTCATTTGTCATGTAAATTTATTTGATAATTGTTGTTTATTATTTATTAACATATTATTATTCATAAACATATTTGTTCATATATATATTTATGAATATATTTGTTCAATATTTACGATTGATTTCATTTAATTAAACAAACTAAATACAAATCAAACATGAACATCTTATAATTTTACAAACAATTTCATTTAACTAAAATGAATTAAACACAAACTAAACAAGAATATCTACTATTTAAATAAATCAAGCTCAAATATAGTGAGCTCGAACATAATGAATAGTTTCCTTATCAAACATGAACCAATTCTGAATAACTTTAAAAATAAATGAACAAATTACAAATATATGTTCATCATTTCGTTCGTTCATATTCGATTAACATGTACCCCTATAAATCCACACTAACATTTTTCAACAGAAAGTGGAAAAAAGTAGTCCTCATAGCAACTACAGTATAATTCTAACAAATTCATAAAGGTAAAAAAAAAAAAATTCTAGCCTATGATTCAAAATATATATTTTCCAGGTTAAGTTCAGACCATTCACTGAAGCCTTACAGAGTATTTAATATATTACATATCTCAAATTACCATGGAATATATAAAGAACCCTTAATTAGCTATGCTGGAGGGTTAGGATGTTTTGGCCTGACTTCAATTTCATTTACACTACGTACAAAGATGGCATTAGGTTCATGTCTGCACAAAGAAAGTATCAGAAATTAGAGCTTGACTATGTCTTTTTATACTGTATACTTTTGAGATTTTTGCATCAGAGAGAGAGCTGGAGGAATCTTACGGCTTATCCCCATCTTCAAATGTGTAACTTGACGCCACAGCCAACAGTCGCCCATCTCTGCTGAATGAAACAGCAGCAATGCTTGTTGGGTACTTTGAATACTGCAAAAGATCATTTAATAATGGTGGTAAACTATCAGCATTTTTTACTGTAAAATGAAACTGCACTTCAATCCAATCACTTACCTGATACAGCCTCTTCTTATTGTTTCCATCCCACACATTTACAAAACCATCACAACCTCCAGTTGCAAATGTACCATAGCTGCAGGTTGAAAGTCAAAGCAGAAATTAGCAATGATGTGAGTGGAAAGAAGCTAATATTAATTATTTTCAAGATCCTGCTAATCTTTCATAAAAAACCTCTTTAGTTAAGCCAACTCAAAATGCATTTCAAACAAACCGTAACCTCGTGTCTTAAACGCAAAAAAGTATGATGTTACTAGCAATTTATTTATTTATTTTCTCAGCAATGTTTGAACCAAATAAGAGGAAAGGGACCAATGTGTCTTGCACACTTCCAATTTGCCTTCCCAACATGAGTATCTAGTTTTCGAATTACTAATTGTCATTTGTCCATGTCTGCCACTGATACACAAACATTGGAAATGCTCTCAAGCCAAAGCCTACATTATAATCAACAGCAATATTTACATGCTAAATTATAAGTTTGATATACCATCTTGCTGAACTGATCATTCAGCTAGCTTGCTACTCAGGTTTTTCAGCCTCATAAGTTTAGCATAAATAAAAAGTTAAAGACTTGTCCAGAAACTTACACAGGATGGAATGCAATGGCATTTACTGGATATACAATGTCCCGTCCAGCCTCAGATTTCCGATGGCACTTAAAGGCATACCTACAAATGATCCAAAATAGCCATTAATAAAAGCAAAAGATAGATCAAAAGCAGGTAGGATCAGCTCCAGAACAGTTCCCACATTCTGTATATATCCTCGTAGCCAGCATATACCTCATTATATAGTGCTAAAAGGAAAAGATTGATACATACTTTTTGGCTTGACTGGTCTCTGAGAGATCAAAGAACTCCATTGCAACTCGCCCTTCAACAGAACTAAGAGCATATCCTGCATAAAATTGTCTAATGAGATGCAATTTTACCCAAAAAAAAAATGACAGAAGAAGATGAATGGTTCACACATAAAAAATCGTGTCCCACTAATTTATTTCACTGCTTGTATAATCTAAGCCTTCTTTTAAACAGTATTTTCTTCCCCTATAAAAACTTACAGAATTTTAGAAGTTATAACTATTACCTGTTCCATTTGGATAACATCTCACACATCTAGTTTGATATTTCAATGAAGATTCCCTTTGTTGCTCAGGCTGAGACATATTTCGCAAATCATAAACATTTACATGTCTTCCTGCAGTTGCCACAACTAAACGATTTCCAACCAGAGATAATGAGTAAACACGCTCAGGTTGTGGGTATGTGCCGACAAGAGTGTGCTCCTGCCCACTTGCACCTCTTGGATCCCAACATTTCAATGTCTTGTCCCAACTGCCTGTGATCACTTGTCCTATAACAAATGGAATGAAACGTTAAGGATTCAAACATTTTCTTAAATGAAACATAATGCTCTCCTTCAGCGCCATTTATAGCACGTTTCCCCGACATATAATCCATGGCACCAGCACGATACTATTCTAACCTTCAAAAGTCGAAAGTTAATTCATATACGATAGGATTGAGTGGAATTCGTGACTAAAATCATCCAATTATGAATCGACTTGTGCCGTCCTTACAGATATAATCAGCAAATTAAGTTGAACTTTAGGAAAAAACACTCTCCATTCTTTCATTTTCTTCTTCAGTTATACCAAACGTAAATATTTCTATTATCTTTTCTGAAAACTTGAAATCCAGAAGCTTATTCGACAAACAGGTATAAAAAATCCAACTTTGAAGGGCAAAATCACAGCCAAATCATCTTGAAATCCGCATTAAAAAATAATAATAAAATGAATAAAAAGAGAAGATTTGCTATTTCAACCAACCTGCTGCATAAGAGTACTCTATACAACGCACGGGAGCATCATGTCTACCTAAAATATCCTCCTTTTCATAGCTGAATACTATCCTGCAAAACTAACAGCTCAATCTTAAGATTGATTCTACATTCATTTTCCTAAGCATTCTCGTGAATCAAACGGAAAATTAGGGGCAAAAACCAAAGTTCAATTAACTAACCTTCTAATCGTATTATCAGCGCAGGCACTGAACCCAGAGGAATCATCGTAGAAGCAGCAATCAAGTACAGGACCACGATGCATGAACTCTCCTCGCAATGGGTTGGCGCTTTCGTCGTAAAATCTCACACTCTATGACTAAAAAGGAAAAAAAAAAAGCTGTTTACCGGTAATCAAAGGAAACTTAAAGTTTAAAAGGCAATTGATGGTAAGGGTGCACCTTATCCCATGAGGAGACGAGTAGGTGATCGCTGTGGTTGGAGAATCGAAGGTTCGAGATCCCGTCCGTCGGAGGGTTGGAGAGCTCGAGCCCTGGAGTCGGAGGCGGGTGGACAACTGTCATCGCTTGATTGGCTGTTAGAGAGGAAACGAGTGACAGTGATTAGAGTTTTTGGGGTTTTCAGATAGGGAAGAGTGTGTAACTGAGTAAGTGGCGAGACAGAGAGGGAAGGAGATTTGAAATTTACAAATGTTATTCCGGTCCGCCAACGCCCAAGCTGTTTCAAATTTTGCCAATGGCGGAAATAAGCAAAAAAAAAAAACAAATCGAATTCAAAAATCAGTTAGTATTTTCCTTTACCCGAAAAACCCAGCGCTAGCTCATTTAATTACATCAATGCCATTAATAGGCCTATGCCCGCCTGGCTTGTTAGTCAAGTTGGGTTTAGCCCAAAATAACAAAGAAAAGCCCAGCCCGCCTTTATCCTACTTGCAGAGGTCAAATCTACGGAGCCCTTTTCTGTTCAATAAAAATAAATCTTAAAAAAAAAAAAGGAAAATTGGCAAAAATCGCAATCGAAGAAAGCTTTTGTTCTATGTGTAATTGGAGCAATCCAACCAAAGGCTCATCAACCAACCCAAAGCGTCGATTTTTTTTTTATTTTATGTGAAATTAAATTTACCATTTCCTTTCAACTCAGATCCTTTTTTTTCCCCTCTTGGATCTTCTGTTTACCTTAAACCCTAGGCAATTTTCCATCAATTTTCACGTTAATCCTTTTCTAAAATCCCAAGCTTTGTAATTGTACACAACGGAATCGAACTCCCAAGTGATCGATCCCGTGCTTACTCGCTTCTCTATGCAATGGTGGTCTGCAAATGCCGCAAGGTACTTTTTTTTTTTTCTTTCTATCAGTTTGATAAATTCACTGCTGCTTAGCGCTGTAGATTTAAATTTCTTCGTGTCAATATTTTAATTTATTTTTTGATAAATTTGCTTTGAAATTTATAATTCATCGTCGGAGGTTTTAGATCTATCATTTTTTTGTTTATCGTCTTTTACTAGATTTACGAATTTTCAGATCTTCGTTGTCTTAATTTTAGTGTTTATTTATCGGGAAATGCGAATTTGATTACTTTCATAAATGATTGAAGAGAGAGGGACATTGACCTTGATATTTAGAGTGTTCAAGTGGAATGTAGCTTGTTATGTTGTGAATTTAGTAGTGTGTATTACATTTACATGTGATAATTTCTAGAGACGGTGTCGTTGTTAGGGATCGAAGATTTACGAATGTCTCTGTTTTTAAACCTACATTCCTTTTGGTGTTTCAGGCGACAAAGTTATACTGTTTTGTGCACAAGGTTCCTGTTTGTGGGGAATGCATCTGCTTTCCTGAACACCAAATATGCGTGGTAAGTTCATATCATCCTGCTCATTTTGTACTCAAAACCATAATTCCTAGCACTTTGACTTGATTTAAACAAAGGAGTGGTTACACTAAAGTGACTAGGAGCAAAAACAATAATAATCTGATCCATACCCCAAAAAAAGGGGGTCGTGGTGGTGGTTGTGGAATTATAGGGGAGGATTTTCAGAGTTAGAACTCTTCTGCTAGAAACTATTTTTGGGTCATGAATTTAGTTTTGGTTGATGTACAACTTCTTTTGCAACTATATGTCTGGATATGTTGGATTTGTTAATATTTTTTACTTCCTTTATGATATATCTCTATGTGCAATTTTGTAAATTATATGCAATATCATGAAAAAGCTTTTTTATGGTGTGCGTATGCTCACTTCTGCTGTGTATATTTAACTGTGTTTTAATACAATTCTGAGTGGAGACGTATAGAATGATGTTTTAGGGCTTATAATGTATTTTTGTTTTAACTTTGCTCTAGATACGTACTTACTCAGAATGGGTAATTGACGGAGCGTATGACTGGCCTCCCAAGTGTTGCAAATGCCAAGCTGTGCTTGAGGAGGGGCCTGGCTCTGAAACAACTCGGTTGGGTTGCTTACGTATGTGTTTATACTGATGTCCACTTTTTTTTTTCTTGCAAACATCATGTTGGATTGTGCCATATAATCTTACTGTTATATTTTTGCTACTTTAGATGTCATACACACAAATTGCTTGGTTTCACATATCAAAAGCTTTCCTCCACACACTGCACCTGCTGGATATGTGTGTCCTTCGTGTTCTACATCTGTAAGTTCTCTAAAAGCTGTTTATTATATCATCAGCATGAATCAGCTGTTTCATGGCCGCATGCTTCTGTTTAGTATTGTTTCAAGTAATGAATATATGTTCACGAAATTGATGGTGACAATGTTCTTGAACCTTACAAGTAGTTGGAAGCATCTAGATGCTAAATCTGTCCAGGCTTGAAAGCACTGATAGATAAGAGTAATAAAAACTAATGTTATGCTGTTTCTGCTTTTGGAACTAGTCATACGAGTAGTTAATGGAGTAAAACTCCTTTGCTGATTATCATTTTTCTGATATTTACCGGTTACTTTATTTATTTGAAACTTTTCCATGGGCTTAGCGAAAGAAGAGGATAGAGATTAATAAATGGAACATGTAATTGACATTCTCTCATGTCTGGGAAAAATTCCTATGATCTGTTAATTAAGGACTCAAGACTGAATAATTTTCTTGTGGCATTCTTAAATTTGTATACTTATATGCTTGTATTATAGCAGTTATGTGTGATGGTCTTGGTTATAACTTACTTCTGTCATTATTTGTTCTTTAGCTTGTCTCATTTTGCAATGGTTTCTTGCCCAGATATGGCCTCCCAAGAGTGTTAAAGATTCAGCATCACGTCTTCATTCACTGCTGAAGGAGTCTATTATGCAGGTGAGTTCATGCTTAATTTGGCTGTTATAAAGAATGCTCATTCTAAATGTAATGTGAACTTTGGATATCCTTTTTTCTTTTTTTTTTTTCAATAATTTGCTTATCAAACTATTCTTCTGCTTTATTTAGTATATGCATTGCTTCTTTATCATAGTGCTTATGGGTGCTTCAGAAGTCCTACTCTTTCCAGTTGCCAGTTAAATTATAATTCAGTTGTTATGCTTTTCAGCATGTGCTGGTCGAGCTTGATTTTGGCCTTTCTGTGGTTGACATGAAAATTGAGGGGTTTAACTCTTCCCCAGATAGAAGTTTCCAAATGGATGGCATAGGTTGACATGACAATTGTGGGATTTAACTGTTCCCAGGGTAGAAGTTTCGAAATGGATGGCATACATTCTGCTAAGAAAATTTCTCCTGTCAAATGCATTAATCATTACAACCAAGTGCTTCCAATGAAAGTAATTGTAAAATGGAGGCCATGCGAGTCCGTTATGGCCAAACCTTTTCTTTCCTTGTCCACTAAAAGCATTGACCTGCAAGAAAGTTTCTGAAATCTCATTTCCCAAGTTATTTTAAGCTTATAAAACTCAAAGTTTACCCAGTAGAATGTTGCAGATCCTAGTATTTGGGGTGCCCAGTCAATCTTCTGATGCTTCGAAATGCTGAAGGTCATTGATTGCCTCTGAAATGAACCTCTAAATATGTGTTGGTTGTCTTTAGGAAGTGCACCAAAGATAAAAGTGATTTGGATTGATTGGAGTTTTAGAATGCTTTGTTTCCGATTTATATTGTAGTCTCCTCTTTAGGATGAGTACAATTGGAGTTCTTGTCATATCTGCTTAAACAAATTGTAAATGACTTAACTTGCTCTAGTCTTGTGCAGACTGGCTTGGAGAAGAATTTGTTCGGAAATCATCCTGTTTCTTTGCCTACAACAGAACCCCATGGTCCTCCACCTGCATTTGCTTCAGATCCACTAATAAATGTAACCACTACCGGAGGAAGAGATTATGATGGTAATTCATCTGCCTCTGTGGCAACGGATGAAGGGTACTCAGCTGTTGGGAGACCTTCTAAACTTACTGTGTCAGAAATAGTGGAGATAGATGGTCCTAGTTCAGCTGGGAATTACATGAAAACTTCAAGTCCTGTTGCTGTAAGTCATTTGTTTTGTTAATTAACGGATGTGATCTGAGTTGTTTAGAGTCATGTTATGCTTGCTTGTTTATATGTGTCAATTCCGGTATGTTTGTTGTTTGTTTTCTTATCTTGGGTATTTTGTTCTATGTTGCTATGTAATCCAGCCTGTGGCTACAACACGAAAGAGTACAGTTCATGTTGATCGGCAAAACTCTGAAGTCTCATATTATGCAGATGAAGAAGATGGTAATCGTAAAAAGTATTCTCGGAGGGGTAAGTAAAGAAAGCCTTGGGTCATGAAGCCATTCTGCTCTATAATTGATTAGAACTTTTCCAATCTGTTCTTGCTGTGGCCTACTATTTTTGGTCTGAGAGTTTCTTAATGCATCCATCTAAGATGCTGTCTAAATGCCTTTGTAATGGAGAACTTAGATAAGATAATACTTCTTATGCCTCTATCATGATTTATTGCTTGCTCTGATCTCGTATTCATGATTCGTATAATTTGTTGTTCTAGGTCCACTTCATCATAAGTTTCTCAGAGCATTGATTCCCTTCTGGTCAAGTGCATTACCAACTCTACCAGTGACTGCACCTCAACGTAAAGATGCATCAAATGCAGATGATGTCCCAGAAGGTCGATTGAAGCATCAAAGATCAACACGAATTGATCGAAGAAAAATCCTTCTTGTCATAGCAATCATGTAAGTCTTAACCTTTTTTTTTTTTTATATGAATATGCATAATCACCAATGTCAAGCTAATCCACCAATTTACATATTCACACACAGATGTACCTTTCTCTCTTGTGCATGCATTTGCCTCTTTCTTATTATTATGCATCTCGCTTTTGTGTTTATGTATCCATCTGTGCTTGTGACCTGTGGATGCTGCAATTGATATCTGAGTGGGATACCAATTAAAGGGAGAGAATGAAATAATGGGGGAAAAGATATTAGAAAGTTTTCTAAGCAGATTCAGTTCTTTTTGGGTTTTACGATTTCCTTCATCCTGACAACTAGCTTAATCATTTTGGTCTTCTCCTCTTGAGAATTAAATGGTGGATCATAGACAGCAGATAATCTTTTGTATCATCAACTACAGATTTAAAATGGAACAACTTAAAAGTTCAGACTCCCTGTAGTGGTTATATACTTAAAATTTGAAAATAATGAAGACATGGAAAGGATTTTTATTTCACCATGTATCTATTATGTTGTGCAGGGCTTGCATGGCTACAATGAGTATTCTGTATTACAGAATTGCATAAAGGGCTCTTGGGGAGGGACTGGCCGATGATGAGCAGCGGTAACTAATTAAAATTGTGATGAAATTGTTGACATTACGTTTACTTGCTTCTGTAAACAAATCATGTTGGTTACTGCTATAACTACCCTTTTCCCTGCTCAGGCCCTCAGCTTTGCCCTGTGACGAGCATTGGTGGAAAACACAAGTAGATCGCAGATATGTTCATGGCCCATCCACCCCACCTTTTAAAATTTTAATTTTATTGGTATGGATACCAAAAAATCATCAATTCAGTGCAGTTAAAACAGAATGTTACATAGTTTTTCTTGCAAATTAAATTCGAGAAATTTGAAGGGTTATGGGAACATGTTTTTACGTGCGGCAAAGATAATCCTTTTGGCATATTTATATGAAGAGTATAAAAATATTATGAGACGAATACCGGCCTCGTATTATCTTTGAAAGCAATTATCTCGGTCCACATCTGTTAATTCAAAAACGTATCTCAACTATTTGCAATATATTTGGAGTTAGAATTTAACATATTTTATACTTCCAAAAACAATTATATATATACATATATATGAGAAAGAAATTATTTGATGTATTGATGTTAGAGTTGTTTAATTTTATAAGTTACATTAAGATGATTATACATTTTTTTTTAAATTAAATTTTTTAAATATATAAGGGATATGTGTTGCTATTTTAATTCGATTTGTGGGATTAAAAAATTTTAATGTCAATTTGATAATTTTTGTCTCTCTTTCTCTCTCTCTCTCTCTCTCTCTCTCTATATATATATATATATATATATATATAAACATTAATGTAAATGTTATGAGATTTAATTTTGATTTTAAAATTGAAAAGAATGTAACATTTACCGTGGCATAAATGGATCACTCCTCTAAATAAACAGTTCATGTATTAAATGTTTTAAACTTTATCTTCTTTTCCTTAATATGATCATTGAAGAGTGGCTTTTTTTTGTCTCTGATGAGAAGGATATTATAATAACTATAGTCTTTGTTATTCCTATTATTGGTATTATTATTAATTATTGATTATTTATTCTTGCAAAAGGAAAGTGCATTCCGATACACTCGTAATTAATACTAATATTAATATATGTTGCTAGTTATTTTAAAGTGCCAACAGCCAAACGTATTCCGCAATGGTCCCCTTTGGTAAGATTAAGTCCAAAACAAAAAAACTTAATATTAATATATATATATATATATATATATATATATAAGAGAAAGAAACTTTATATAACAAATCAAAGGCTACCACTTTGAGCATTAGCTCAAATGACATGTAAATTGGATAAATTATTAAAATTACGAGTTCAAAAGGATTTAAATATGTAATTTTTTTTTGGGAATTAAATTTACAATGATTGAAGGTTAAAATATAGATTATAAATTAAAAAAGGCCAACTTCCAATTAATAGAATTAAATTGAGAATTTTTTTATGCTTAATTATGACATTAATAATCCTTGTTTTAGCTTATCTTCAATAAATCAAACCCCTATAAAGACTATAAATATAATTTTTTTTTCATGCAAAATTTTAAAATGTTCCTTCTTTTTGTTTTTTTTTTAATGGAGTTCTTGACCTATAGTTTACGCGGAAAGGTATTATTAAAAGATATTAGTTATTTTCTTTATTTAAATGGTACTGTCCTTTTCATATATTCATTCATACAAAAATGCTACCACTTAGTTTTATAACATATTAATTTGTTTAAACCATGAAACTTAGAATAATAAATTGACATATATATATATAGTTAATAAATATAAAAGGTTCTGTTTTTTTTTCTTTGTTGAAATTATGTTAAATTATTTTGGTTTTTTAATACTAACCAACCAAGTGCCAACCATTAGGCCGGCATTCAGCCAAATTGTAGCCCCATGGCCGATAGTATTGACATTTTAGGTCTGAAGTTTGGACCATGAAAAACCAGCTGCATGCACCATGCTTGTTAGACCACGTTCAATTTAATATAAACAAAATAATATATATATATATATATATATAAACAAAATAATATATATATATATATTTACACAAACAAACATCACCATTTAATTCTCCTCGCAATACTATATAAAATAATGAAATTACTTAAAAATATTACATCTCGAATTTTAAATTTCTTTTTATTCAACTAATGTCACCAACCATTTAATTTTCTATATTAACAAATGACGATTGATTTTTAGATTAGTTGATTGAAATTAATGTTTTAAAGTTACAAATTTATATACAATATATCATCTTCAACTAATATAAATATTAGGATAAGAGATTACAAAATAAATTAATAATTAAAAAAAATTCAAATTCAATTGACCAGTCAATTAAAAATAAACTTTTTCATGAATGATAAGTTTTATAAATAAAATAATTTAAATTTAATTAATTTATATAATCGATGACATCCAATACATTTGCTTACAAGTTTCAAAACCTGAATTCATTCTTTTATCTAAAGTTATGATTTCTTATATAAAAAAATTATAAAATAAATTAACTTTCTTCCAACTCTTTAAAAAAATTTCAAATTATTCCCATCAACAATCAATTAAACAACAAAGCATATCATAAAACATTTTATTTAGTATCTTAAATTCCAATAATAAAAACCCAGAGAATATCCTCAGCATCTCGTATTAGACTAAAATATTATTGTTTTATCTCTAATCTGAATTATAATTAACATAAAAAAAAGAGGATTAATGCAATAAGATTGATATTATAAAAATGAAATTATGCAAATTATAAGTAATTGGGGATTATTGTCATGCAAGAAGAACAAAATCAGATTTGGTGAATTTCATAAATAGTTGCAGAAATACTGAGATTTTGTTCTTCTCTTTTGTTTTTATTATGACAAAATATATATATACTGATGTAAACGTACCAAGCCAACCCTGCAACAGATCGTGCAATGGCCGGCCTTCCTTTTTTTTTTTTTTTAAGCTTTACGATATTAATTTTTTATTATCATTTATCAACACTATAATTTCTCTATTTAATTTATTTTATCTTTGTTTTTCACAAAAACAAAAATTTTCAATATTTTCTCGTAAAATGGAGAGGAAAAAGCGCCGGAATCTTAGGTATGATAAGATTTGGGAAATTTTAAAATGTTCATTGGTTGAAGTAATTGTAATAATTATATGATTTCACAACACATTGCTTTCTTTTTTCTTTTTTTTTTTAGGATTTTATCCCAAGTGGTTTAAATTAATAATTTTGGATTTTTATGCATTTTATTTCTCTCTAGCATTTTAACATGCATTGCATATAATTTTTTCCTCCATAATAAAATCTTTACACAAAATGAATATTAAAATTCAAAGAAATCGAGGAAATAAAAAGAGAATCATAAAATTAATTTTAATTAATTTACACAGTTATAATAATTAATAATTTTAAATTTTAATATCTATAATTTGATTTCTTGATTGGTTGCCTGAAGGGTATTTGTGTCTTTGCATATTAACTTAATAACAATTGGAGATTTTTTACTTTTTTTTATTGTTATTGTAATAAAATATGAAATATATATAATAATAATATATGTGAAAATAATAGATATGAGATAGATAGATAGATAAATTGATTGATAGATTTGAGAATATATGAGTTTTGATTTAGTGATAGATAAGAGTATTTTTGTTTTTAACCTATATTTATGGGTAGATTTGATTTTTTTTTTTTGTTTGGATTTGTTTTTTTGAAATGATTAAGGAAAAATGACAATAATTCATTTTTTTTTTCATAATAAATGATCAAGTAATAATTTATATATTATTTTTTAACAAAATCAATTAGATCAGCAAAAATTTTATTTATCGAACGAAACTTAAAAATCTTTTACTGAAAAAAAAAAGATGAAAATTAATAATGAAAATAGGGTAAAAATGGTAACTTTAATTGTTCCTTGGGTTGGAAGTAAAGAGATTAAGTAAATATTTTATGCAAATAATTATATTATAAGATTACAAATGTTCAAGATATTATATTTAAATTAATTTGATAAAATAAGTTTCATATTCATCGTAAAATTAAATAACTTGTGTAAGCATTAAAGTAAAAGTTATTTTTTTGGAAGACTTAAATAAAGTTATTTATTGAAATTCATAAAAACTTTTATTAAAAATTGTTAAATAAAAATAAAAATAAAAACAGATAAATTGAAATATGTTATTACATAAATTAAGTCTGTAAAATTTGAAAAAATTTTAAATAACTTTAATATATTTTTGGATAATTATTTTTAATAAATATTTTGATAAAATTTTTATTGTTGAATAAATACTAATTAAATTTGAATTATAAACATTATTTTTAATTTTTTTACATATTATTGATTTTCTTATTAAACTCTATTAGTTTAATTTTTTTATTAAAATTTTAATTGTATCATTTATATTAAAAAATTTGACAAATTTCACATAAAAAACCTCTTCTAAGTTTTCCCTTATTTTTTACTCGTAAAATTTTAATAATTATGTCATCTCATAAGATATAAGTATCATTTTATCTTAAATCAATTTATATTAAAAAATTCATATCATAAAAAAATGTAAATTTATATTCCATGTAAATAAAGAAATAGTATAATGCTCAGAAAACTTATATAATTAGGTAACAATTTCTTGAGAAAATTTTTTAATCAAATTTTTTGGGAATTCATTTAGCTAGTTAATTAATGGGTTTTTGTTTTATGCTTCCGGCCTTACAATGTGAAATGGTGATGATCTGTCCTTTATTTTCTCAAGAAAATGGAAAAGTGAAATTGGAATTACAAGCTGAAGTGGGCAAATATTTAGGATAATTTTTTTTTTTAGTAATTTTAATCATAGGAATATAATATATTCATTTTCGTTCCTCCATTCAAGTACTTAATTGTACATTATCATTATATCATAAACAAATTACTCACAAATGGATTGGTGTCACACATATTGTTTCCTTTTTTGGTATAAATTTAATTACTTAATTTATATTATTATTAAGTAATAAGCTTTTTTTTTTTTTTTTTGCCTGAATCATTAAGTCATAGTCTTTTTTTTTAGGTAAAGATTGAGTTTAAATACGTAGGTAAAGTCTTGTAAATGTATAGAGAAATTATAAATAAGTGAGGGCTCTAACATATTTTGAAAATATAGATTAATGTGTAGCAGACAGATTAACTTTTGTTAATAAACGAGTAACCTATCAATATAATATTAAACTCTTAATTTTAATGATTAAAATGTAAAATTTGATAAATTCTATTAAAAAAAAAAAAAAGAACCCTTTACCATAAGAAATTGGCAAGTACTCCTTGAGATGTGAGAATGTACCATGAAAAATTAGAAAACTCAAACGTTCATAACATATTCCAAGAAATCTGGTTTATGATCTTCAGATACATGTAGCAGGTAGAAAATTTTTGCTTCCGATGAGGGATTTCTAAAGTTCAAGAGCTTTATGAAAGAGACAAAAAGTATCCGAAGGCAGATATACTGTCAGGTTCCAGGTAGTTTTTGAGAATGTCATGATCATACTCATCTCCACGATCTGGCCGCCCTTTCCTCAAATTTCAATTTCATTCTGTACAACATACTAGCTATTTTATGTTTATCATATTCAAATTACGACTCCCCACGTCTCTCCATTGCCAGGTGTGGTTCTCCTTTCCATTTCCTTTTCACCAAATATCTCCCCCTTCATTCTTACCTAGAATTGACCAGTTATTTTTTGTCCCACCTAATCCTTGTTCATCTCTAATATTCAGATTGTTTACGAGTCCTGAATCATTCCCTTTGGGTACAGTTTTTTAAAGAGTCCCAGGGCGTTTTGAGCAGCTGAAATGTTGCATTATTTTAGTGTTTCTGAGTTGTACTTGGGCCCATTACGAACTAAGCATATCAGTGACAGGGAATTACCGGCTTAATAATTGGTAATTATGAAATGAGATACCGTTACACGAGTGAAGTCAATGCTTTTAATTGATGACATTTTTCTTTGCTGTTGGGTATATATATATATATATATATATATATAGACATATACATGTCTCTTTATCCTGCTTCTCTTCAAGGATTAAAAACAACTCGAGAGCTTCCCTTAGTAGCAAGCAAGCACTTGGAACCCCAAAAGAATGGACTGTATGGAAGCCTTTTCAGAAGGAGAGTGGAGCTCTCTTAGTGAAATGTATACCAAAGAGGAGGCTGATTTCATGGCTCATTTGCTCAGTAACTGTACCCTTCCTGATGAGCTAGATGGGAGTTCAAACTTGGGAATTCCATCTACTTTTTGGCCCGGACATCATTCAACAATAAATATGACAGGGGTTTCGTACTGTTCCGCGGATATAGCTAACTCTAGTTCAAACAGTTTTTCACAGGGGAGTAGTTATAGTGCTGGTAGTAGTATTCTTTTTCCCTCTTTCAGTCAAGAGAACTACTACCTGAGTGATTCTCATCCAATTTTTGTAGCAAATAACAGCCCCATGTCAATTGATTTTTGTATGGAAGAACGTTCCTATCTCGTTGAAGGTGATGATTACTTGAACCAATTAATGGGCAATGGAAATGTAGAACAGGATGGTAAAAGCCACCAAAAACCTGCTCTTCCCAATGAGAATTTGGAACCCAAAAGGGAATCTGCAATGCCACAGCCTGAACCAATCACAGAGAAAAAAAGTAACAACATATCAGAGAATTCAAAGAAAAGATCTCGAAGTTCAGGAGATGTGAGTACAAAGACAAATGCATACCTTTCTTTGTTAGCGAATTGTTACTTTCTTGCTGATACAAAGTCATCTTTTTCCAAGATGACTGTGCTAAGATCTTATTTTATGCAGCATCGACTTATCATAATTTAATGGTGCAGGTCCAAAAGAACCAGAGAAATGCAAGGTCAAAGAAGAACCAGACTAGTGTCTCAACTACCAACAACGATAGAGATGGCAATGCTGGTCCCAACGGGCAAAGTTCGGCCAGTTGCTTATCAGAGGATGACTCAAATGCTTCTCAGGAGTTGAATGGAGGAGGAGTGACCTCAAGCTCCAAAGGAGAAGCAACACTAAATTTGAATGGAAAAACAAGAGCTAGTAGGGGAGCTGCCACTGATCCCCAAAGCCTTTATGCAAGGGTAAGCCTTTATACTGGTTAAGCATTGCTGCCCAGTAATGTAGAACCGATCTTAATCAATCTTTCTTATCTATCTTGCAGAAAAGAAGGGAAAGAATTAATGAGAGGCTGAGAATTTTACAGAACCTTGTCCCCAACGGAACAAAGGTGGGCATAATACATTTGATGCTGAGAAATATCTGACCATGAGTCTATGCAAATTGTGAGTGCAAATCTAAAAATTCATTCTTTGACATTGCAGGTTGATATCAGCACAATGCTTGAAGAAGCTGTCCAATATGTAAAATTTTTGCAGCTCCAGATTAAGGTAGGAACAAACAAAGGATGCATCCCTTTGACAGATGATATCTTCTCTTCTGATTTTAAGCTTCCAATCTAATTTGCTTTCCCTTTTTCCGGAATCTTGCAGCTGTTAAGTTCTGATGACTTGTGGATGTATGCACCCATTGCTTACAATGGAATGGACATTGGACTTGATCTCAAGGTCGCCACTCCAAAACCATCATAGAAGATGTGGCCTGATGGTGTTGCGGACCATTAACATTTGCCATCTGCATATTCTCTAAATTTGAAATAAGTCGTTGCCATTTTGTAATGGATTTATTTCTTTAGGTACATAAATTCTTCAAATCTTAATTGTAATCAATAATTACCACGAATCATTCATCAAATTTGTCAAATTCTTTCTTACAATCACATGAAATACAATAGTTATGTGAACCGAGTTTCTTCGTTTTGAATATCTTTTTGCTACAGCTACGAACTTTGAACTCCACACTTTGAAACATTATCCTGATTTCTAGATGTTTTCTATGCAATATCATGTCTATGGGATGATATATTCAGCTATGTCCATGGATTATAGCAATATTGGTACGTCTTCATGCTGAAAATGATAGTTGATTGAGTTTAGTCCGTAGCTTAGCAGAAGGAGTTGAGACCAGCGAAATGGCAGCTATGGAATCCAGGTGAGGAAGGCGGTTTTAGACTTTATTTGAAGATCGGGAACAAGCTTCACAAACAGATTGGTTAGATTCGGATAATTACTTACATTTCACCATATACGACTTACATACAATACTGTTTAAGATCCATTTGTATGAATGTTGACGTTAATTCTGATGAAATTAAAAACAATAATAGAAGAAAAATTAGTTACGAAAATATTAAAATTAATAATGGAGATATATGTTTAGATATATGCGTAATGATAACAGTAAAATAAATTATAGTGAAAAAAAATATTATAAAAATTATATTAAAATTTATATGTAATAAAAATTTTAAATTATTTTTATGTTAAATAATAGTTTTGTTAGTAAATATTAATAATTAATTATTTTATTTTATAAAAAAATCATTTTGAAAATTTTTAAATAAAAAATTAAAAATAAACAAAGTTGAAAAAAATAAAACAAAAGAGGATTAAAAATGAAATAAATCTTACGATTGAAATTAAGAAAATTTCACTGGACCAATGAGTTTTCAGTGAGTAACTGAAATTATATCACGATAAGATACGATATTGTTGTTATCATAACACGAAATTTGTGTAATTTACATCTTTAATTATGTCTCTCCGTTTAAATCCAAATCAAGCCTTAGACTTTGAAGGTTCCGGACATAAAACGAAGCATAATCCAATGGCTGTTGGCCTACGTTCTCTGATTCACGGAAAAGACTTGCATATATTTTTGTTGGTGACAACTGACAAGAAATAAAAACAGCAAAGATTAGAAAAGAAAATATGAAATTGGATATCGTGTAGGCAGACCATGTTGATAATGATACGAGATTTTCATGGTTCAGTTAAAAATTCTAGAACAAGCATTTTAAAGTTATTTTATGTTTTTTTTTTAAAAAAATTCATTTAATTTGATTATTTCAATTTATCAAACTACATTAATCAAAAATCAAAATTCATAGATTAGATCAAAATTAATTGATCGAAATCCAACCGATTAGATTAGTTAATTTTGTTAAAACCAAAATATAAACACAGTAATAATATTCAAAAATGAAAGAATTATTTAGAACTATTATGATTCCGAAGTCAGCATCCACGTTCCACCAGAAAAGAAAACGTTATGCACGACCTAAAACCCTCTTGCAAGTTAAAAATAAAATACAGTAATAAGAACAAAAAATTCAGCTCATCTAAAATACATAAACGAATTACATAAGTGCCATAAACGAATTACATTAAGTGCCATATAAATCATGGGACAAAGATCGTCGGTACTCAGAATCTGTGAAAGGAAATTCTAGCTACCGTGCTAAAGCCAGAGATCCCTTATGATCTGCCCTTGATGGCTCCTACTCTCAACTTTTTCAGCATGGTCCGGTTATAACGTACAAATAGCCACTTCTATTCTGGATTGCTTTATCCTCAGATAAATTTTACATATCAATAACATCTATGCTTGAAATCCAACCGAAAAAGGGGGTAACTAGAAACATATCTGCTTGACTATCCTGCGTGATCAGATCTCCTTGAAAATACTGGAGTTTTCTTCTTCATGCACGAGCTTCACTTACATGGTTTGGAACTTCTGCTTGACTATCCAGAGGCATGTACTGTGCCATTATAGCCCTGATTTCAGAATCCATGTATGACTGCCAAAGTAACAAAACAAGCAAATGATTAGGGAAAAATAACAAGAGATGCTTAACATATGAATATATATATATATATATATATATATATAGAAGAAAATCAGAATCGGTAGTTCTGGTTTGACAAGGTGGTCTAGAGGGGGTAGCCAATCAAAACCCTGAATTTCAGGCACTTCAATCCAAGCCAAGACTCCCCATCGAAAGGATTCAATCAACAATAGTCACTTTCTTATCCAGCCAATATGCAGTCCAAAGTCCAAACTTCATATTGTAGGCTTATTTTATAATATAATGCACCAACTTACTCTTAATCTATATTTGTAAACGAGATAAGCCCCACCACCAACCATTGCCAAGCCTATCAAAATGATCCAAACAGCAGCCCATGCTGATCTTACTTCAGTACCCCTCTTACCTGTGATAGAGCAATAAGTCGGCATCAAAACACTTACCATAAATCATATATTCAAAGGAAAATAGTTTCAAGTAGAAAATCCTAGGTCCACCAACTCACTTATGCAGGTATCTTGGTCCCTGATATACAAAAGATCTCCACTGCAAGTGCACTCATAACTTCCCCAGGTATTTTTGCAGCTACATTCAGAGCACTGGCAGGCTTTCTTCTCTTTGCATTCGTCAACATCTGCAAGATGGAAAAGGTAGAAATATTAAATGATTTAATCATTCAACATGCTTAAAGCTTCTATCTGCCTGCATTCAACCACTCATGTACCATTCATCTATTAGTTTATCCACATTAAGTTCATGTACGTTTCTTCATCCTAAGAATGAAGAAGGTACTTCTAGTTTGAGTTCCTAATTACACCTTGAAACATATATTTATTCGTTCAGGACTCACCTTCACAACTTTTGACACCATCTCCTTTAAACCCTGGAGGACACTGGCATTTAACATCTCCAAAATCCTGTTCAAAGCCTTTTTCAGAACATAAACTTATTTTCACAAGGAGGAAAAAGAAAAACTGGGAGGAGCTTAGAAAAAAAAAAATGTTGCTACTAACCAAACAAGCAGAGTGTGCATGTCCCTCTCGTGAATCATGCCAACAACCTCCGATGTTAATCTTGCACCTTCCAGGTCCACTAGCTGAATAGCAAAAAGAAAATAGCATATGAGTGAATATTATGCAGATATAAGATGACTGAAGACAGAAATAGGTGAAGAGTCCCTTTTCAAGGAATAAATTTGTATTGCCTCTATCAAACATATGACAACATAATAATAATAATAATAATCAATGAGGGGCTTCAAACTCAAAAATATAAGCAACAAACAACAAATCCAGCTTTTCTCACAACGTGGAATTGGCTGCATGAATCCTATAATGCCATTTCGTCCTGTTAGGCCCATATCATGAGGCATGAATCATAAAAAGCCATAACTTTGAAATAAAAGCTAAATCAGGGCAAATAACCTTCACAGTGACTATAACCGTCTCCTTTGAATTGCACACCATCAACCAAGGGACATTCACAGACTCTCCCTCGAAATGTATCCTGAGCAAATAAATGTATTGAGAGAGTTAATAGAGGCATCAACAAGTAGAGAACCTCTATCAAAAAAGTTTTAATTCATACCTTGCAGGCTGTGAGATTGGCTGCTTTATCTTGCCAACAACCACCATTGTTATCCAAACATTCATTCGTCTCCACATCTGCAACAGAAGAAACCACTGTCACTAAAGTTTCAAATAACAATGGGACAGCAAGATGAACCACTACACTGAGTTGCTTTTGCCAAAGCAGGCTCTGGAATCTAAGCGCTTAGCCCTTGGTAATTTTGGCAGAAGTGGACACACCACAACACAAATTCACTCAATTTTGTCTTGGAAGCTCAAGATTACATTGCACTATATGATGGCCCCTGTGCAGCAACAGACTAAAATACTTCTCTTGAAAGAAAATATAACACAAGAAAAACTTACCACTGCTCAAACAAACAGCTGGTTCAGTAGTCTCTTCGAAACCAGCACAGATGGCTTTCAGAACAGCACCTTTGGCCAGCTTTCCTGTATCCAGATATGTCAGAAAGGAAAGCATCCAAAATTGTACCTTTGAAATACAGGCATGAATACATACCTCGATATTGGTGATTGTTAACAACAAGAGTAGGCAATATGGTAACGTCACCCCTAGATCCTTTCCCCACCTATAAAAAATGTTTCTATTAAATAGCTTTCAGAAAGGTCAAAGATGACAAGAAATACATAAAAAGAGCAGTAAAACATAAGTATCTAAGCAGGACGGCATTACTTGGGCATCTTGTTCTTCTTTCAGAACAGGATTATCTGCATCAGCATTAGGGTCTCCCATACACTTTTCAATCTTTTTACCATCAAGCCCTGAATGGATGAAAAAAAAATCATTGTTCACTCATAATTAATTGCCAGTAATATTTTGATTCTTGAGGGTGCTATTAGCAGCAATTACAAGTAAATATAGGATTCTTTTAATTAACAATTACCAAGAGATCCGATAACACCATCAGCGCATCCCTTGTTATATTTTTTCTCCTTCATGGGGCATCTTATTTGAAAATCTGTCACATAGTCCCACCACAACCATGCCTTATTGGTCTCATTTGCCACTTTGAAAACACATAGCTGCCTTAAGTTTTCAATCACAACATCTTTTCCCTCATAGCCGGAACTAAAATCTTGTTCAGGATCAGGTGCACAATATCTTCCATGGTTGATGCATTGAGATTTGCACTGTCTGCTTAGAGTGAAAGCCCGAGGGCAGTACCAAGTTATGTAGTGGGGAGTGAATTGAGTATAGCCACCTTTTTCAAGTATTTGTGCAGCACCCTTAAAATCCTTCACAAATTCTATCAGCATATCACATTTAGCTCCACATTCATCATTGCTGTTAGTCCATAACTCATACTCCACACGATCATCAGGGTGTGGAACAGCCTCTCGCCAATCAAGATTAACATTGACCATATCCCCACCATTGATTGCTTTCTTTAGAGTTTCACCAAAAGTTTTCTCAATAAGGGCAGATGGAATTGTTATATTTTCAATGTATTTGGCAGATGATTTATCCTCTTCAGGTGTGTCCATTGTTATCAATGCTTCTTCAATATGATCTGCAACAAGCACTGCAGAGGCACCAGCCTTCTGTGCATTCCAAACTTTTAAAGCAAAGAAGCAATCTGGGAAAACAATTCAGTGATAATTCAGTATGTTCATGAGCAAGTATCAATTTACTGTTGCCTATGTACAAACATCAGTGGCTGCTACAAAAGAGATTAAAGTTGTAAAATTTGCCTATTGTCCTCAAACATGACTACTTTAGTTATGGTTCTTACAAGTAATTTTTCTTTAGTTCTCAATTTTTTTTATGCCAAGTCAGCATTTAGTGCCTTATTATATTCTCAGGTAATCCTTATGAAATTAGGAGGAAAAAGCAGCTAAAAAATGAAACTCAAATTTCAGAAATCGAATAGGATAAAAAGAGAAAAGGACATCCTTCCAAACGACTTAAGTAGGCTAAAACAAGTAAATTAATTTTTAAAAAAAGCAGTAAATCCTTAGTCAAGTCAGCCAAATCAAACAAACTACAAAAATCAAAGCTTATAGTAACAATAAAATCAATGGACAATGCTAAAAGATACTTCACCAAATGAATTAAGGAGGCAAAACTAATCACATAAACCCAAGTGGGTGAAAATGAAATCAATTAAAACTCAAATCTGAAACAAAAAAAAAAAAACAAAATACCTCTTAAACCAACAAATCCCAACAAGTTCAACCATAAATCTAACATGAAAATAAGCCCAATTTAAAGTAACAATCAAATTAGCCACAAAATAAAAACACAAAAATGATTCCTCATGAGTCAACCCAACAACAGACAAATTATAGCTTTAATAAACTCAATCTCAGACTAATTTAAAAAAAAAAAAAAGGCAAAAACAGGAAAAGTGTACCTCCACGATCGACCAAAACAAAAGTAGGAAGAGCACCAGGTTTAGTTTTAAAGGAAATCTCAAACTCATCAAAAGGCTTACAACCCTTTTGGTTCTCCTTACGATAAACCACAACACCAGCCATGCTTCCCCCATATTGGGGTATGCCAAAGTTCCCAATTGCACTATCATGGGTTTCCTTAATCTTCTCCGGTGACGTTACCGTCAAGCTGTTTTTTTCCACCACAAATCTCGCATAACAACTCCCTATCACAGACAACAACACAAGACCTAGAAGAACATGTAATCTTTGTAGCTCCATCTCTTTCTCTTTCTCTTTCTCTTTTGCTGACACGTGGGTGTTTCTGTGTGACTTGGGTAGATCAGTTTTAAGGAAGAAGAAGAAGATCGTGAAAGAAAAACATGTAAAAAAAATGGGGCAGTTCTGGTTTTTTCGTTTGCTTATTTCTGGAAAGCCAACAAAATCAAATGAAGAAATGGAAAATGCTGGGGTGTTTCGGAAGTGGAATTTTCCTTTGGAATTTCGTGCAAGTGTGAAATTTGGTTTAACTTTTTTATACCATTGGCCTCACCAAAAAGCTGGGAAAATTCCTATCTAATATCAATCACTCGTCTCACTGTGCTAGAAAATATTAAACATGATAATTTAAAATATAATATAAATATAAAATATAAAATAATATAATTTAAAAGTTTAATAATAATTATATATGAATTTAATATAATTAAAAACATTTTTTTATATTTTTTATTAATATAAATTATTATATATAATTTTTATATAAAATATTATATAAATATATAATTTTAATATTTTATATAATACAAATATATATAATTATTATTTTTATTTTATTTTATTTTTTAAATAAATATCAACCGGATAATTTGTGATGATATTTTTGGTCTTTTGACTAAATTCAAATTATTTTTTTTTATTTTATGAGTTTACTTAAGAAAAATTTTCTTGTTAAGAGAGATTTTTTAAGAAAAAAAATTAAAATTTTAACAAATGCTTTAGGTAAAATTTGAATTTTTGTGTTTGTTTTGATGTGTATTCTTTTTCTTTAAAATCTATCTGATTTTGTTAAAATAAGATTAGTTGTTTAATACAAACAAAGAATTGGCACTTTCAGCAATCTTGCATGAAGCTAAAAACTTGATAAGTTGGATTATTAATATTTTTAATATCAGATTAAATAAATCAATCAGTTTCTGTTGTTATCTTAAAGAAGATTGATTAAGTTGATTTTTTATTTTTGATACCGAATTAAGTGAACCAACTTATTAATTACTTTAGATGGACTAAAGGATTTTTGATCGAGTGGTTATTTTAGGTAGCAAGCACTTCACGTAAATTTATACAACTTTACAGTCCACCTAAGATTCACACATTGAAAAGGAAAAATGTGAAATCTAAAGGAAATGAAATTGGGATCTGGGCTGGTTGATTCGAACTTGTTTTTTGGTTCTTTGACCACTCTGGTCGGTTGACTTTTGCCACTGCTTTGCAATCGACTTTAGTGGAGCAATCACCGGCTGACCCCACCGCGGTCGCGGTTCGTGTGGGTTGGTCCATCCCATAAGGATTTATTGATTTTTGAGGTGGAAGACATCATTTCTCAACATCCTTTTGAACACGTCTCATCTCCGTTTCAAGCCTATTGCTTCACCCAAAAACATATACTGTCCTTTGACATCAAGGCAAGCAAAATATAATATATATATATATATATATATATGTATTTGCTTACTCCATATGCTACACTGCTAATTCCCAATCCCATTTGCCTGAGATGTAACTTTACACAAAGGTAAAAAAATGTGCCAAAGGGGCAGCAGCTGTTGCAATCTTTTGGCACTTTAACAGTTACGGATTCAAAATTTTAATGTAAGATGATCAAATATTTATATACACATTATATTATGTATATATTTTATACATAAAATTAAAAAAATATTATGAAAGTAAATATTTAGTTAAAAGTTTATTTTTATCAATTGGATAATCTTTGTTATTACTTTTTTTTATCATCTTTTACAAGGCAAACTATTAAGGTATGTGAAATATGGGGGTTTAATATAAAAGATGTTGTAAAATAATTAGTATTAGAAATTGATAGATTAATAAAACTTCATAAATAGTATTAGAATATATTGTTAATAGTTATGCATTTAATTATGTGTAAATATGTTTGTACTCTTTCATGATATAAATATACATGTCATAATCCTAAATAAGATATGACATAACATTTATTTTTTACAAATTCATTTCATAATATCATGGTGGTGGCCTTCCTTCTTTCCTCATCTTCAATTTTGATCTCAATAGTTATCTTTTTTTTAATCTAAAAATAATTACTTTCTATTTTTTACTCCAATAATTTTCTTTATAATATATTATTTCTTAAATATTCTAATGGCTTCTAATAACTAATCATCTTTCATATCATCTTTTTTCTTTCCTAATATTTTTAGCCTTATTTCTATTAAGTTGAACTTCAAAAATTATTTGCCTTAGCATGATCGGATAACACATTTTTTTTATTATGTAGTGATTTATTGGGGCATGTTGATGGCACCATTGCACCTCCTCATAAAATAATTACCAAAGATAATGAAACCATATCTAATCCTGCATATACAGAATGAGTGAAGAATGATCAATTTGTTTTTTCCTATCTAAAAGCAACGTTGTCGCTAAGTGCACAAGCATAAGTCCTAAGTTTGCCATCTTCTCACCAGGTTTGGATAACTTTAGAAACTATTTTTCATTCAACAATTTCAAACAAAGTTAGATCTGTTGCGATATAAGTTATAAAATTTGAGTAAAGGAATTGTATATTAAAGACTATCTTGCCAAGATCAAATCTATTTCTGATAATTTAGCAGTCATAAATCATCTTATCTCTAATTCAAAATTGGTCACTTATACTTTAAATAGACAACCAAATACAATTGAATATTAACCAATTGTCTTTGCTATTGAAAATAGAGAGAATCACATTTCCTTTAATGATTTGAAAGCACAGTTATTAGTTCATAAGCAGCACTTGAAAAGAATATTGGTATTGTCATCACAACCTATGAATGCCATTGTTAGTTCCCATGAGACAACCATAGTAACTCACCTAAACAGTCAAGGTCAACACTTTAATAATCTTCGTCGCGATTTTAGGTGCATTGGATAGATTAATCAAAGGTATGATCAATGCGATTATCGATCTTTTTTCTTGCACAAATCATATGCCTCAACAGGACTTTTAATAAAATAAACAAGATAATATGAACTTTTCATGTTCTCAAAATGCAATTCGTGCCATAAAATGTCAGATTTGTCACCAATTCAATCATACTGTTATAACATATCAATACCGCTACAATAAATATAATCATAGTCTGAGCAATTCTTTTGCGGGTTTTCATTTTTCTATTGCTACTTCAAAATGATACTTCACTTAATGCTCAAATAGAAAATAACAATGACGTTTACTGGTTAGTAGATTTAGGTGCTATCAGTCACATGACTTTCAATCCATCATTGATACATCAATCCACTTCTTATGCTAGCAATAAAGGTATTTTTATTAGTGATGGTAATTCTCTAAACATCACTCATGTTGATGATTCTGCTATATGTCTTGGTTATACAAAATTAGCATTGAAAAATATTCTATTTGTTTTAGCATTAAAGGAAATTTTATTGTCTATTACTAAGCTTACTAGAGGCAATAATTATGGTTTTTATTGTTTTCCTTGGGATTTTGTTATTTAGGATCTTCGCACGAGAAAGGTACTTTTGAATGGACCAATTAAAAATAACCTTTATGTGATTCTTACATGAGATGTGGAGAATTCGTAGGTGTGAGGCAATGCGACCAACAAACTTTGTTCAATGGTAGTTCTTTTTCAATTTCTGGAATAATTTGGCATCTACAACTTGGACATCTAGTTAGCGAGATTACAACACAGTTAAAATCTAATAAGTTTATCTGCCTAGGGATTCTTCCTTTTATAACTTAACTTATGCAACTTATCAAATAAAAAAAAGTAAATGTTTGCCTTTCAGTCTATCTACTAGGATAACTTCTAATATTCTTAAATTAATTCATTGTGATCTTTAGGGCCATTGCCTACTACTGCTATTATTGATTTTCGTTATTATATTATTTTGGTGGATGATTTTAGTCATTATACTTGGTTTTATCCATTGAAGGGTCGTTCTAATAGTGTTAGTTATTTTGAAAATTTTAAAATTATGGCTGAAAATCAATTTGGCAACAAGATCAAATTTTTTTAATGCGATGGAGCTAATAAGCTTGTTAAGGGTGATTTTAAAAATCTTCTTGATCACCATGGTATTTCTCTTCAAATTTCTTGTCCACATATCCATGAACAGAATAATTTAGCAAAACAAAAACATAGACATATTGAGGAAATAGGCCTAACTTTGTTGTTTCAAGCTTCCTTACCATGATCTCTTTGGCTTAAGGCATTTTCTAAAACTATTTATTTTATCAATCGACTATCTACATCAGTTTTAGGTAATCGTTCTCCTTTTGAGGTGTTATTTAACTCTATGCTAGACTATAATCATTTAAAAGTTTTTGGATGTGCTTGTTATCCTTATTTAGTTTTTTATAGAAAAGATAAGCTTTTCCCAAAATCCACTTGTTATATCTTCTTGGGGTATAGTTTAGTCCAAAAAAGATATCATTGTTTAAACATCTCTAATGGTCAGGTTTATATCTCATGACATATTGTTTTTTATGAAAATCGATTTTTTTTTTTGCAAAGCGTTCTAGTTTGACAGCTCATAGGATTCTTTCTTATCCTATTGACTTTTCTACATCTTCTAAAATTAGTTATGAGGTATCTCTGCCCATATCTTTGACTACAATTATGTGAGAACTATTACCAAATATTTCAATCTCAAATACAACTATTTTTGAACTTAGTACAACTTTGTTGGCACCCTCTACTTAACCATCATCTAAGCCTTCCACTTCTTTTGGTTCTAAAATCATACATCCTATAGTTACACAAAGTTGAGGTAATACTTGAAAGCTTAAAGTACCATACTCTTTACATGTTATAAATTATCATCTCTTGAGCCAAGATCCTTTAAAGAAACATGTTAAGATGAAAAATGAATTTCACCTATAAATGATGAATATTCTGCTTTGATACAAAATAATACTCGGTCTTTAGTGCCTCGTAATTTATCCATAAATGTTATTGATTGTTGTAAAATTAAAGAGTGAGTTGATGGTACCATTAAGCAGTGTAAAGCAAGATTAGTAGCCAAAGTCTTCACACAACTATAAGATATTGACTTTGACTCCACCTTTAGCCTTGTTGTTAAGGCCACCACTATTCAAATTATTCTTTCTATTGCTGTTAGTAGAGGATGGTCCATCAGGCAATTAGATGTTAAAAATGCATTTTTACATGGCAAGTTGCATAAAAAAGTTTATACGGCACAACCACTAGGGTTTGTGGACCCTAATCATCCTTCATCATGTTTGTATATTACATTGCTCTCTTTATAATCTTTGCCAAGCTCCACGAGTTTGGTTTCAGAGATTTAGTTCTACTTTTCATACCTTTGGTTTCAAAAGTAGTCAAATAGATTTTTCTATGTTTATATGGCATTCCTTATCTGATATGATGTTACTTTTACTTTATGTGGATGATTTCAATCTTACTAGCTCTTCATTAAATGTTATTCATTCATTCATTTCACAGTTTTTTTTTTGCAATTTTCAATGAAAAATCTTAGTGATCTTCATTATTTTTTTGGAATTGAGGCACATCGTACACATCAAACAAAATATATGTTTTCTCTATTTTCACGTTTAGGTATGAAAAATTGCAAATCTACTTTTAGTCTAGTAACTACTAGTAAGAAGCTTTCTTTATATGATGGAGCTTTACTTTCAGATTCATCACAATATCACACCACTATTAGAGCTTTGCAATATCTTACCTTTACTAGAGTTGACATTACCTATGTTGTGTAACAAGTCTATCATTTTATGTATACGCCTCGTGATATTCACTTTTAGGCTGTGAAACGAATCTTTAGATATCTTAAAGAAACTATTAATTGTGGTATTCAATTACTTCCTTACACTACACCGAATTTGGTATGCTATGTTGATACTGATTGAACTAATTATCTAGACACTAGACGTTTTACAATGGATCACTGTGTTTTTTTAGGTTCCAATCATGTTTCTTAGTGTACTAAGTTTCTATTGCTCAATCTAGTTTTGAAATAAAAGTATATGACTCTTTCTATAATTTCTTGAGATATACTTAAGATTTCTTATATATTGAATGATGTTGGATTTCCTCTTGTATTACCTTGTTCTGTATATTCTAACAATATGGGTGCTACTCAACTTACTTATAATCTAATCTTTCATGCTCGCACAAAACGTATAAAACCTTTTTATCACGTTGTTTGAGACCTTATTTGCAAGCATTTTCTTCAAATCCTTTTTCTTTGTTCTCAATCATAATTAGCTGATATATTTATCAAAAGACTTTCTTCCTTAATTTTTCATCCAATTAAGAACAAGCTCGTATGGAATTCTCCCCAATCGCTTAAAAGGCGTATTAGAATATGTTATCAATAGTTGTACATTTAGTTATGTGTAAATATGCTTGTATTCTCTCATGATATAAATATACATATCATAACCCTAAATGGGATTGGATAAAACATTTGTTCTTTACATATTTGTTTCAAATAGATAATAATGCAATTAAAGTTTTTAAATTATAGTATGAATATTAATTTTAACTTTCATTTGTAATTTTCATGCAAATCATTTTAGTTATGAAGTTTGCAAATTTTACTTAAGAATTTATATGTTTGGCTATTTTATATTTTTTATTATTAAAGTGTTTAGTTTATTTACATTGAGTATTTAGTTTAGTGCATGATTCCTCATTAAAATCAAAAGTGTTTAGTTTATTTATTGACACTATAAAAAAATAAATAAATGATTTTATTAAAAAAAATCCTCACATTTTGCAAATATATATTAAATTTAGAAATTATTAATTATATAGATTTTCATTTTTAGATAAGATTCATTGACATAAAAAATCAGAAATGAGAAGGAGAATTTCTTTTTTTAATTTTTGGAAGATGAAGCTAATATATATAAATATAATTTAAAATTCTCTAGCTCTCATGTGGCTCCGCCAGCCGAAGTGCCAGAGGGTATGTAAGATTTAGTTGCCGCCTAGGGAAAGATTATTGATCAAAGGGAAAAGAAACCTTACTAGCACCTAACCAAATAAAACTGCAAATGGAAAGGGAAAAATGATCCGTATAATGGAACAATAAATGAAAGATTTCCCAAAGTAACAATGGTTTGTTCTCTTGGATGCTTGGCTTCACAGTTGGTAACGGTTTTTCTTAAGGATTTGATGAGGAAGTTGTAACTGTCAGGACAAAGCAAAGATCTGATGGGGTCCCATCCAATGCATCAAAGTTTTTTGAGTTGAAATACTAGAAATATTTCATCTGAATCTATGCCAAAAGTGATTGGCTGACGCCAGGCAATCACCTTTTCTTGCCCCGCAAAAAAAAAAAAAAAAATGGAGGTTTATGCCGTTGGGTTGGGTCGAATGACGAATAGAACCTGGAATGGACTGTATACGGAAAGGCAGGGATGCTGGCATTTCGGACTGGAAATAGTCCAAACCCAAAGTATCAGACGCTTGCTCTGACATTTCATTGGGTCCTCTTAACGTTTTTTTAATCCAAGAATCAAACACTAGCCTTATCATTTCAGAATAAGTCTAGATTTAGATTTCAAAATTAAACTTATCGTTTTATCAATTAAATTTAAATATTAATTTTAATAAAATTCATTTAATATAAATTTTTCATTAAATTTTTTTTCAATAATAATTATAATAAATTTTTTTAATAACAATTATAATAATTTTTATTATTATTTTTAATCTCATCGAAATTAATGCCGCTGATCATTTAAATGGTACTTTTTTTATATTTCAAAATGAAAACCTTCAATGCATTTTAAGTAGGCAAAAAAACAAAAAAATGGACCCTTTTGTAAGATAAGTTGAAAAATAAAGCATTCAGTGATTCTTGTCATAGCCTACTCAAAGTTCGTATTAATCTTAAATACTGTATAGCTTTTATAGATTGCTTAAACACTTGAGCCTACTGATATTAGTAAAAAAAATAAATTAAAATATACGGCTGAAGTTCAATTTAAGCAGAAGATATAAGGAGTAGCTCCTAATCAGATTCCACCTTGATGCTTTAATTCTTGTCGCACATATTGGTGCCTTGGTGAACACTGCAAGCGTGCCCTGTTTTCTTCGCATTTTTTTGTCTTCAAAGGCACCCTTCAATGAGTGCACACATCTATTTGTCTTTGTTCAATGTGTTCCCTTGCTTGACAAGATTATTTGGCATATCAAATTAGCAAGTGGTAACTATGACATGACTCTCTGAATTGTTTTAAGGTTATGATCATAAAGATAGTTATACATTTTCACGAAAATTGTGTTCTATTGAAAAATGAATAAGCCACCAATCACAATCCTTGGTTTAACAAGCCCAATCACCAAAATATCACCATGTATATTTGGTGGTCCATGTGTGTATGATGCCATTGGGGGTTAAAGAAGCTTTTGTTTTGTCTAAGCATCTCATGACTTCATTGCTTCCTAAATGGGAAACTCATTCTATTCTCCCATTGCAAGCAACCCATGATTTTCTTACTAGTGTATTTGAAAGACAAGAAAAAGACCAGACCAACCCATACACCTCAGCTTCTAGTATAAAAGAATTGCAGTGCTTGCAATACTCCACTACGTAAAGGAAACTAAAATCAGCAAAGCCATGAAAACGCAGGTTTCCTTTGCTCTCTGTCTCTCACTTTTGCTGGTAGTCCCATGTAACACTCAGCAATTTGCATGTGACCAGAATGATCCTAATACGAGCCAATTGCCCTTTTGTGACACCTCCTTATCTTATGAGGCTCGAGCCAAGGACCTTGTTTCACGCTTGACTCTCCAAGAAAAGGTGCAACAACTAGTAAACAAAGCTTCTGGCATTTCCAGGTTAGGTGTGCCTGCCTATGAGTGGTGGTCTGAGGCACTCCACGGTGTCTCAGACCTGGGTCCAGGCACACGTTTTAATGCCACAGTGCCAGGTGCAACTAGTTTCCCTGCTGTAATTTTATCTGCTGCAAGTTTCAACGCGACATTATGGTTTACGATGGGGCAGGTGGTGTCAACCGAAGCTCGAGCCATGTACAATGTAGGGTTAGCGGGCTTGACATATTGGAGCCCTAATGTTAACGTGTTCCGTGACCCAAGATGGGGACGTGGCCAAGAAACGCCAGGGGAAGACCCTCTGGTGGTTTCAAGATATGCTGTGAATTATGTTCGGGGATTGCAAGAAGTGGGCGGGGAGGCTAACTCTACTAACGACAAGCTTAAGGTTTCAAGTTGTTGCAAGCACTACACTGCTTATGATCTGGATAATTGGCAAGGCGTCGATCGATTCCATTTTGATGCAAAGGTATGCATATATCATAGAGTTGGTTAATTATCCAGTTTTAATGATTGGTACTTGGTAGTTGATGAACATAGTGCTTAATATGACTTCAATGACTTACTGATCCAAAAACATTGTGAATACACTGTGAGACTTCAGATCAATGAATGGATTTGGTAAACTTTTGAATTCTTTTAAGACATTGCAAAACAAAAATAAATATGATTTGTCTGTTGTCACATTATTAGGTTTTTATGTATCAAAATAGGATTAAAACTTGAATTTCTTTTCAGGTTACACAGCAGGACTTGGAAGATACGTATCAGCCACCATTTAAGAGCTGTGTGGAGGAGGGACATGTGAGCAGTGTAATGTGCTCATACAATAGGGTAAATGGGATTCCCACCTGTGCTGATCCAGACCTGCTTAAAGGAATAGTTAGAGACCAATGGGGCCTTGATGGGTATGTTTTTATCCCCCGGACCAGATATTAAGTCTGCTAAGAAGTAATGATTTATCCCCATTTCACTAATAAGATAAACATTTTATCTCGTTAGAATATCGAAGACTCATGACCACTATGGTTATTCCTATTACTCATAAAATTAGCATAAACTCCGTCCCTTAATATCATTCGAGCAGATGAAATGCTGATTCCCCAATCTTTGGTTGATAATTTCTTAAGTGATCGTTCTCTTTGTGCTTCAATGACATTTTTACATGTTTGTGGCAGATACATTGTTTCAGACTGTGACTCTGTTGAGGTTTATTATAATGCCATCCATTATACTGCTACACCTGAAGATGCAGTAGCCCTTGCTCTAAAAGCAGGTATTGTTTCCACTGATAAGCTATCAGCTGCTGGATATTTTTCCCAAAATACTCATATCAGTGAGTTTAATTTCTGCTACATAATTGTTTAATTTCTGCAGGTTTAAACATGAATTGTGGGAATTATTTGGGGAAGTACACAGAGAATGCAGTCAACTTGAAAAAAGTAGAGGAATCTATTGTTGACCAAGCTTTAATATATAACTATATAGTCCTTATGAGGCTTGGTTTCTTCGATGGAAACCCCAAATTGCTTCCGTTTGGTAACCTGGGGCCATCTGATGTATGCACTGATGATCATCAGCTGCTAGCCCTTGATGCTGCCAAGCAGGGAGTAGTTTTACTGGACAACAATGGAGCTCTTCCTCTGTCCCAAAATATCACCAAGAATTTAGCGGTTGTAGGACCAAATGCTAATGCCACAACAGTAATGATAAGTAACTATGCTGGTATACCTTGCCAATATACTAGCCCTTTACAAGGGCTGCAAAAGTATGTCTCAATGGTTACATATGAGGCAGGGTGTAGTGATGTGAAATGCAGTAATCAGACACTTATTGAGCCTGCAGTTCAGGCCGCAGCCAAGGCTGATGCTGTGGTGGTAGTTGTGGGGCTAGATCAATCTATTGAGGCAGAAGGGCTGGATAGAGTAAACCTGACATTGCCAGGATATCAAGAAAAGTTGGTGACTGACGTTGCTAATGCAGCAAATGGAACAGTGATTCTTGTGGTTATGGCTGCTGGTCCAATTGATATTTCTTTTGCAAAGAATGTGGGAAAAATCGGAGGCATTTTGTGGGTCGGATATCCAGGTCAAGCTGGAGGAGAAGCCATTGCTCAAGTCATATTTGGAGACTATAATCCAGGTTGTCTATCTTTTCTTATTCTTTGATGACAATTGAAGAATGATATTTTGTCTCCTTTTTTTATTTGCTTTTGAATGGAGGTGACTCTGAGCATCAATATTCTGATAACTTTTTTCTCGTGTCAGCTGGAAGGTCTCCTTTTACATGGTATCCACAAGAGTATGCAGATCAGGTGCCGATGACAGAGATGAACATGAGAGCCAATGCCACTACTAACTTTCCTGGAAGAACGTATCGATTCTACACTGGCAAATCTATTTATGAATTTGGACATGGACTAAGCTACACATCATTCTCCAAGTTCATAATATCTGCTCCTTCCACAATACTCATCCACTCAACACCAAACAAAATTCTCTCCTCTCATTCCATCCGCGAACCATATGCCTACTCATATGGTGAATCTATTGATGTTTCGAGCATAAACTGCAACAATCTGCAATTTAATCTTGTAATCGGGTTGAAGAACAATGGACCAATGAATGGAGCCCATGTGATTCTCCTGTTCTGGAAGCCACCAAGCTCAGGAGGGGTGACAGGTGCACCAAATGTGCAGTTAGTTGGGTTTGAGAGGCTGGAAGTGAAGAGAGGAAAGACACAGAATGTGACAATGAGCTTGGATGTCTGCAAGGATCTTTCCCTTGTGGATGCTGAAGGGAAGAGGAAGTTGGTTATAGGGCAGCATACCCTTTTTGCGGGTTCTGCTAGTGAGAACCAAATAAGGCACCATTTCATTGTCAGGCAGGCTGGGAATGCAAGTGTAGAAGGTTTTGTTTCTATGTAATAGCAGGCAATAACATTTCTGGGAGTGCCAGCAGCCGTGTAATAGTAGAATAAATTATGGTGTGTCAGGAATTAGCAGCAGCAAGTGAGCTGTCATCTGGATATAGTTAAGGCCTTCATACTTCGCTAGAGAGAGGAGTCGAATCTCTGATCTTATAATTAAGGGTCATACGTGCTAACCGACTGAGCTACTCTAACTTCTTATTAAGGGTTTAAAATATTTTTTATACAAACATTGCAAATGTGACTCCAATCCTCACCTTAAATTGTGAGCTAACTTCTCTTACAGATTTAAATACCAGGCAGCATCCCAATCCGCTTTGGCAATTTTACATCATCTTTCGGTATTCCACTTACAGGATAAAATCATATATCTGCAAGCACATGGCTCATTCTGTCCAAGGCATATTGATGATGATAGTTGCAGTTAAGTTGAGATCATTTGGACCACTTCTTCATGCCAAAGAATAAAAGATTCAACAACTACTGACCCTCAACTTCCATGTATAAATAATTGCCATATTCTTGGACAAGACCAATTCAATCAATAATTTCTTCGGAGTTTTTCTATTTGCGTGCTCTAGAATGGAACAGAGAAAGAAAATTACCACCAATTATATCATCACCACTCTCTCGGTTACCATTCTTATTTGTTCTAGCTCGGTTCACTCTCGTAAGTTGGCTGGCTCACCATCACCTTCTCCGGTCAGTACATCCCACAGCCACATTAAAATTTCAGTATTCCCTTGTTGTTTTCCTTTTTCTTTTAATTGGTAGAATTAATTTTTTTCTACTATTATATAAATATCATTGCCATATGCCTTTTGAATGCTTTATATGGATATACAGGAAAGTTTGGTGGTGTTGGACGGGATGAAAAGGCCTGGGTCACTTCCAGCTGCCTGTCATTCAAAGTGCAACCAGTGCAAGCCCTGCATCCCGGTCGAAGTATCAATTCGAGCAGCGGAGTTAGAAGAAAATGAGTACTATCCTCAAGTGTGGCAATGCATATGCCAAGAGAATATATACCCACCATGATCTAATTCTTAAACAAGGCTGCATTGTTCTTTGGCATCTGCTTTAAGTTATTTATTTATAATTCCAATAAGTGAACCATATTTTGATTATATTTGAGGCTATCAAAATTTAATATTTAATTACTTAAACTATTTACTTTTATAGCAGTCTTTGAAACACGACAGTCCACCAAGTAAGAAACTTGTGTTTCAGTGTCACTTATCGGAGCTAATTATTGTAGATAAGCAAACAAATACAAAATAAATAAATAAACCAAAGAAAAGGAAAATACTTGTGAGTTCTCTTGTTGACCCTTCCGACAATATATTATCAAAATAACGTGAAAATATCCACCAGATTTAAAGTGTTCAATTTAGCCAATAATAATTAGTTAAATGTTAAATTTGAGATTAAATTTTTGCATAGTTGTTCAATTCATGATTAAACGTTTTAATTTGTATGAATAAAAATTAAATATTATTAAACATTTATAGTTAAGGATAAATTTGGATGAAAAAATGTGTCTCTTCCGTGTAGTTTACTTGTGCTGTTTAGTTTTATATTGACACTGATTTATACCCAAAACTTTAAAAAATAATAAAAATCATAAAAAACTTTAGTTTCATAAGAACAAAAAACTTTTTTTTCTTCTTTCTTTCCAATTTTTTTTGTTTTGATTGTTGGATATAGTTCATATGTAAATAAAAAATCTCACATCATTAGAAAATCTGAATGAGATATCTTATATATACATAAAGGATCAAAAAAATCTAATAACTTAAATTTTTTGGCTCAAGTAGTGTCAAACATATATATATATGAACTTTCTGATATGCTCTCAAGGGCTCCAAGTGTAGTTTATTTTTCTAACAAATAGTATTAGAACTAAGGTTACGACGGGTTTGAATTCTAGTAGTGTTGCTAGGGAGACATTATTGACAGATCGAAGGATGGTCGTGTCCATCAACTTTAAGTACTCGAATACCGATATTAAAAGGTTTGACTCGGATGCTGCGAATCTATGATAATATATAAAAACAGAAAACTCAAGTATGTGATGTGTTGAGTCAATCTGGAGTGTGAACTTGAGAGAGCACTAAAACAACCTAGATGGTAAGGTTGAGTGCTGTGGCCTGACCCAAAAGCGCACTAAAAATATGAGATTGCTTGACTTAAAAAAAGTGTTGATAAGATTTATTCGCACGGGAGAACCAAGGTGAGACTTAATCAAAACTCACAAGTGAACATGAAAGATTGTTGGGATTGATTCATACGTGAGTAAAAAATCTCACATCATTAAAAAATTTAAATGAGATAATTATATAGGCATGAAAGACCCAAAAACTTAGTAACTTGAAATTCAAGTGATGTATAACATGTATGTATGAACTCTATGGTATATTCTCGTAGACTCTAAATGTGATTTATCACCACTGGCTTCATATTTTTCTCCCCTTAATCCTCTCGACTCTTGTTTCTTTACAAAACCTTCAATTATTCTGTTCTTGCAGAGGAATATACCAAGTGGATTGTTATACAAAAGGCTATTCCAGTTGGTAAGGAGCTTATGGATCTTTGCCTTAACCGAATGAGAAAATTGGCTGACAATTGCATTAGTTTATAAGTATTTTTAGTATTTAATGCTGTTGGTGGTGGAACTAGTTCCAATTTGATCTCATTGCTTTTGAAGCTCTTGTCAGTAGATTATGAAAAGAAGTCAAAAGTTGGCTTCATCAAACATTCTTTTTAAGTAATTCCTTGAAAATTTTGAAGGAAAGTACAATAAAGATGCTAGTACAGCCTTCAATTTGCAAACGAAACGAATATCATGAAACACATAAGCGAGAAACCTATAGTTGAAAGAATCGATTTGCAATTCAAAGGTATTAGAAAGCGAAAATAAGAAAAGTGGGTTTTTTGAATCAAAGTACCTGAGAAAAGATTTAGGCTATTGAAATCAAACAAAAAATTTCTTGGTTCCAACAGTAGAGAAAGGATTTAGGTTTTTGAAATTAAACGAAAATTTCTTGGTTTAGTTGTGAGTTTTTGAATTTCATAGGTATTATAGTATGGATTAGTGATTTTTTTTATATAGATTAATATTCAGTAATTGAAAATTTAATGATTATGTGAGAAAACTAGAACTATGAATTTTTTTTTCTTACTTTTTATTTTTAAATTGTATTTAAAATAATAAGAAACAATCAAATGATTTTTTATCTTTTTTAAAAATAAATCTCAATTTTAGGATTTTTTTATTTTTTAATTTAAAAAATACTCAACCACCAAAAAAGTGACACATAATTGTTTTTCATTTAATTATTATTTTTATTAAAATTCACACGCACAAATTTTTATTCAATTTATCATTAATTGTAAATATTTTATAACGTTTAATCTTTATTTATATTAATTAACACATTTAATTTTGAATTCCATAACTACGTAAACGTTTAATTTCAAATTAAATATTTAACCATAATAATTTTGAAAAAGTAAATTTTAAGTTAATTAATAAGTATCATAAATAGAAAAATAAAGAACACTACATTTAAGTGAGAAGAATTTGAAAAGAAAAACTACAAAGCAAAATCCAAATAAAATTTACCAAAAGCATGTTTGATAGAGGGTGATCAAGTTAAAAATTATGATGATCTGCACTCAATCATTATATTATCTTATTTGCTAATAATTTAAAATTTTATATGACAATCATTTTATATCACTAAATGCACTGTTTTGAAGAATAAGATGATTATTAACTTAAAGGATAATAAAAATTTATCACGATGGAAAATTAATTTTTAATATTATTTTTGACTAATTTATTTTTAAAAATATAGTTAACATTATCTTACAAACTAGTAAATATTTTTAAAAACCGATTTCACTAATCACTTATTTTAAAAAAAAATTTCTATTACAATTGAATAAATATTTATTGACCAAAAAAAGATAATAAAATTATTTAATAAAAATTTTTAAAATGATTTTCATCAAAATTGATTTAAACTTTATAATTTTTTATAAAATAACATTTAGTTATTTTATAAATTATTGATTTAATAAGTATTAAATTTTTTTATTTCTTTTACAAAATTATTTTGGATATTTAATATTTTATGATTTATTTTTTCATATAATATCAAATATAGTGATTTAAAATTACTATTGATTTATAATATTACTAAAGATATCAATCTTACCCATATCTAATGAAGAATTCGACATTTTATTCGAACAGGGATGAGGATATATATTCCATTGTGAGAATGAAGATAGAAATGTATATGATTTTAATTTTTTTTATTAGGTATAGTAATGGGAATATGTATGATTTATTTTTTTAAAAAATTATGGATACGAAAATTATTTATACTCATTAAATAACTATATGAATAAATTTAAAATATCTAAGAGTATTTGTATGAAATGAATATAATATAAAATTTTAAGAATAAATTATAAAACTCTTTATCCCTTTCATAATTTACTCATTGACATCCTTAAATATTATACTAAATATAGTAATTTAAAATCATATATAATCAAATTACTTTGGTGATCTTATCACCATAATAATTAAATCACCATAATAATCTTAAAAATGATATCAAATATTGCTTAAATAAATTATAATAATACAATATCTTAACTTTTTTCAACAAAAAAAATTTACAATAACAAAAATAATATAACAAAATACCTTATTACTCCATGTAAAACTCCCTAGTTCAGTCATGGTGTCATTGATTTCCCTTAACTCAACCCTTCGATACTTTTGTTTACAGAAGATTCCTCAATTTTCATTAAAAAAACTTTCATGCATGAGACAACAAATTAAAGAATTTACAAATAAAAAAAAATTGTTGTGTACTAAGAACATCTTAAATTATAAGCTGAAAGAATTTAACTATTAAAAAATTTTCTTCTTGAAGATAATTACTTACTACAATTAAACAATTACCTCTACCTTTTAGTTAGAAAATCAATAGTTAGGTGAAGGGTGTCGACATAAGGGCTCAATTTTCAACACTTTGAAACTGCCCTTAAATCCAAATCAAAAAAGGAAAGATTGGCTGAAACCAGAATATAATTGGAGCTATGCACATGAATGCTATGGTTAAGTTAATTTTATGAATCAAACACTACAACAATGACTTGCCTTTTTCACTAACCTTGATAGTAGTTTATACAGAGCCATCCCAACTGGATGGGATGGCTCACCCCGTTGATGTGGTGCTTTCCTGTAAAATAACAACATATTATATGATTTAGGTTTTGTCTCTAACTTTTTTTATGGTTTTAAAATATACATTTAAAATTTTATATTTCTTTAAAATATGAAAACAATTTCTTTTATAAAAAAGAATGTTAGTAAGGATATTATAGGTTTTACTCTAACCAACCTGATAAATTGTCTTTCTTTTAATTCTCTCTTTGAATTTTTTAATATAAAATAAATCATAATTAAAAAAAAAAAAACTTAACCTTTAATAATTGGAGTGTAAATCATAATCAGGTAGACACTAATTAGAAAATAGAATTGTAATCATGTTTTGAATCTCCTCCCTTTGACCAAATAAACCATAAAATTTTCAAAGAATAAAGCCCACTGTTTTGGAAACTTCCTTGACAAAATTTTATCATCAGAATCGATTGGCATGGTATTAGCCGCGTAGGGCCACACCATTTCGATGAATTAAGCAGTCAAAGGAAAATAGCATACACAGATTGAACATAAATAAATAAAATGAAACTAGTCAATTTTGCTTTGCACCCATGCCCATTTCCTAACGAAATCTGCTCAGCTGTCACCCACCTCCTACGATTGACAAATTCAATTTCTTGGAGTTTCTTTACGTCCAAAATTTCAAAGGGCATGAATTTGAAACAATATTGATGCTTATCCCATCATACTTTTAGTTCATTTACCAATTAGAAAAGTAAAAAAAATATTATCACATTCTTTTAGTATTACAATTCTAGGTTATGCAAGTGTGCTAATCATTTTTTTGTCAGAAGTATATATATCATTAAAAATGAAATAACGAATTCATTATTTTTAATTGATTTATACATAATTTATAAAGTTGTATTTAGTAATAATGAAATTTAAATTTTATTACCTATTTCTTTCTTAAATTTGTGATTTTTTGTAAAAAAAATGAAATAGAAAAAATAAATATTTTTTCTTTGTGCTAGTTGGCGAGTAGCAACATAATCCATAGATTTATTTCTAGTTAGTAAAGATGCTTTATCTTTATTATTATTATTATTATTAGTAGAAAAGTCCTAACTACCAAAACAAATGAAAATGGGAACATTGGTCCAAAAACTTTTGATAGCATAAGCATATGCCATAACAAAACCACATGTTTAAAAGTCATTAACCACGAATTCAAAAACGTTAACTTTCCTCCATTAATGTCAACTGGTCAACATCGAACCTTCGCTATAAAGTTGTCTTCTTCCTGCAATTGTGATTTCAGAGTTTAATTTCAGAGTTCTACTTGACAAGAAAACTTCGGAAGAAGAAAGAGAAGAAAGAGCGAGTAGTGATGGAAGGTTTAATTCCATATCTCATCAATGCCGTGAGGAAGCAAAAACCTGGCCACCATTACAGGTCAATGTCCATGGGGTCTAGCCGTGGCTACCATTTGTTAATGGGACAGTCGCAGGAGGAGTCCGTGGAGGGCTCGTCTCACAGGCGAACAAGGTCAGAGTTCCAGCCTCCAACCGTGGAGCTTCTTGAGCAGAGGTCAGGTCTTGATTTCCTCAGCCCAAAGGGCTACAACAACAGTCCTTCTGTAATCTACCCTTCAATGGTTGGTGGCTCAAATGTTGGTCCCTACGCTCATCATCAGCAAACTTCCAAGGTGAATAATATTGTTCATGTTTCCAATGTTTGACGACCATGATTTATCAATGCAAGAGTGTCGTAAAACGGGGTAAAGTTTTTCCTGGCAAATGATGTCTTTGCCTTTTATTGTACATTCAAGCAGTTTTACATTAGTGTGATAACTGATTAAATTGTGCTTTTGATGGATCTGTTACTATTGATGATCATTTGGAATATCTTGTCATTTCCTGCCTTATTTGGAATATCTTGTCATTTCCTGCTTGGAAATCATCTTAATTTGTGTTATCCAACTTCATAAATATGAATCCAACCTTTAAGGAGCTTCCAATTTCTCAGATAATCCTTTTCCTTTAGCAACAAGGTAGAAAAAATATTCTCAGCCATATTCAGTAATTCTTGTTCTTTCTTCTGAAATCTGAATCCACCAAGCGTGAATTGTCAACGTAAGTGTGAGAATATCACGAACCGTCGCATAAACGCGTTTGCAAATCCAATCAGAAACTGTTAAGAAAAGAAGAAGACGAATCCAAGATAGTATGAACTAGTGTTTGACATGGACTTGTCAAAGCTCCCGAAGTTGAACGACACCGTTTGGGCTCAAAACAGGCCAAATTTTCTCCATCAGAGAATTTTTTTGAGGCTTTAATTGGTAAAGAAAATAAAAAGAAGTGAAAAAAATTTTAACCCAGTACTTTTATAAGTAATAAAGTAGGAGAAAATGGTAAGATTGAGACAGCTTGAATCCCAATCAACAGCGTGTCATCTGAGTATCAATTGTCACTCATCACTGCGTTGATGGTTGGAAACTTGCCAAACTAAGGTCCCAATCCACCAAACAAGTTGCGTAAGGCCCTTCCGTAAATTGATTGAGGCTCATCAGGTAAGAGGGTAGGCATATAGTATCATACATTAGACTACCTAATACATTAGCAGCACCAATCCTCTATCTAAATGAACGAGAACCAGAAGCTCCTGTACAAAGCAAAATACCACTGTCGACATTCAATCATTCCATGACATGCCACCGTCCAGAATCATGAATGTAACGTCCTGCTTCAATCATGTTGCTAGCTTTTCATATTTACCGCGAATCAGATTTACAGTTGTAGTTCATAAGCAATGCACAATTTCACACTAGAAACAGCAAAGAAACAAATTCATTCTTCTAATTTCAAATGATAATGCCTCCAAGGCTAGGGCTTCTAAGATTTTATCCACGAGTTTCCCTGTCTCTAAGTGAAATTTACTACATTCTAATATAGAGACAAAATCGATACACATCTAAATTGTTACATGTGACCTTATGATGCTAATTTGATGTATATTCAAGACCTTCGACGTCACAAGATAGTTAACCCACTTCTTGCAGTAGCACCATTCTGATATGGTTACTTCAAAGTCATCTTCACGTGCATGATTGGTAAACTAGCCACAAATTAGAAGGTAAGAAGCCACAATGCACCACGTGTTAAATGTAGATGCTGTGAAATTTTGAGGGAGAAAGAATCTAATAGCAATAATGAAATTTATTACCTATTTATAATTGATTTATACATAATTTATAAAGTTGTATTTAGTAATAATGAAATTTAAATTTTGTTACCTATTTCTTTCTTAAATTTGTGATTTTTTGTAAAAAAAATGAAATAGAAAAAATAAATATTTTTTTTGTGCTAGTTGGCGAGTAGCAACATAATCCATAGATTTATTTCTAGTTAGTAAAGATGCTTTATCTTTATTATTATTATTATTATTATTATTATTAGAAAAGTCCTAACTACCAAAACAAATGAAAATGGGAACATTGGTCCAAAAACTTTTGATAGCATAAGCATATGCCATAACAAAACCACATGTTTAAAAGTCATTAACCACGAATTCAAAAACGTTAACTTTCCTCCATTAATGTCAACTGGTCAACATCGAACCTTCGCTATAAAGTTGTCTTCTTCCTGCAATTGTGATTTCAGAGTTTAATTTCAGAGTTCTACTTGACAAGAAAACTTCGGAAGAAGAAAGAGAAGAAAGAGCGAGTAGTGATGGAAGGTTTAATTCCATATCTCATCAATGCCGTGAGGAAGCAAAAACCTGGCCACCATTACAGGTCAATGTCAATGGGGTCTAGCCGTGGCTACCATTTGTTAATGGGACAGTCACAGAAGGAGTCGGTGGAGGGCTCGTCTCACAGGCGAACAAGGTCAGAGTTCCAGCCTCCAACCGTGGAGTTTCTTGAGCAGAGGTCAGGTCTTGATTTCCTCAGCCCAAAGGGCTACAACAACAGTCCCTCTGTAATCTACCCTTCAATGGTTGGTGGCTCAAATGTTGGTCCCTACGCTCATCATCAGCAAACTTCCAAGGTGAATAATATTGTTCCTGTTTCCAATGTTTGACGACGATGATTTATCTATGCAAGAGTGTTGTAAAACGGGGTAAGGTTTTTCCTGGCAAATGATGTCTTTGCCTTTAATTGTACATTCAAACAGTTTTACATTAGTGTGATAACTGATTAAATTGTGCTTTTGATGGATCTGTTACTATTGATGATTATTTGGAATATCTTGTCATTTCCTGCTTGGAAATCATCTTAATTTGTGCTATCCAACTTCATAAATATGAATCCAACCTTTAAGGAGCTTCCAATTTCTCAGATAATCCTTTTCCTTTAGCAACAAGGTAGAAAAAATATTCTCAGCCATATTCAGTAATTCTTGTTCTTTCTTCTGAAATCTGAATCCACCAAGCGTGAATTGTCAACGTAAGTGTGAGAATATCACGAACTTTCGCATAAACGCGTTTGCAAATCCAATCAAAAACTGTTAAGAAAAGAAGAAGACGAATCCAAGATAGAATGAACTAGTGTTTGACATGGACTTGTCAAAGCTCCCGAAGTTGAACGACACCGTTTGGGCTCAAAACAGGCCAAATTGTCTCCAGCAGAGAATTTTTTTGAGGCTTTAATTGGTAAAGAAAATAAAAAGAAGTGAAAAAAAATTTAACCCAGTACTTTTATAAGTAATAAAGTAGGAGAAAACGGTAAGATTGAGAGCTTGAATCCCAATCAACAGCGTGTCATCTGAGTATCAATGTTAACTCATCACTGCGTTGATGGTTGGAAACTTGCCAAACTAAGGTCCCAATCCACCAAACAAGTTGCGTAAGGCCCTTCCGTAAATTGATCGAGGCTCATCAGATAAGAGGGTAGGCATATAGTATCATGCATTAGACTACCTAATACATTAGCAGCACCAATCCTCTATCTAAATGAACGAGAACCAGAAGCTCCTGTACAAAGCAAAATACCACTGTCGACATTCAATCATTCCATGACATGCCACCGTCCAGAATCATGAATGTAACGTCCTGCTTCAATCATGTTGCTAGCTTTTCATATTTACCACGAATCAGATTTACAGTTGTAGTTCATAAGCAATGCACAATTTCACACTAGAAACAGCAAAGAAATAAATTCATTCTTCTAATTTCAAATGATAATGCCTCCAAGGCTATGGCTTCCAAGATTTTATCCATGAGTTTCCCTGTCTCTATGTGAAATTTACTACATTCTAATATAGAGACAAAATCGATACACATCTAAATGTTACATGTGACCTTATGATGCTAATTTGATGTATATTCAAGACCTTCGACGTCACAAGATAGTTAACCCACTTCTTGCAGCAGCACCATTCTGATATGGTTACTTCAAAGTCATCTTCACGTGCATGATTGGTAAACTAGCCACAAATTAGAAGGTAAGAAGCCACAATGCACCACGTGTTAAATGTAGATGCTGTGAAATTTTGAGGGAGAAAGAATCTAATAGCAATGCCTGACAGCAGAGAAAGAGAGGTTGTTAACTAGTTGCATACTAGCAATTCAATCTCAACTATTCATACTTTTAAAAGTCTTACCTGAAAGGGGTTGGCACTTCAAATGCGTAGATCTTCTATGTCAGTTAAGAGACCTGTATTTTCATGAGATCTCTTATCAGGTAGATTCACCACCAGCTGACCACATGCACCACTTATGTCCTGGCCCATTTGCTTACGAACTGTTGTCCTGATGTTATAAATGCCCCTAAGAATTCTCTGGAATTCTGATACTCGCTGGTCACTACCAGTTCTGAATTGACTTAACCCACCGATTGGATTGAATGGTATTAAATTTATGACCTGATTCAAAAGTCACCTACTCAAATTCAAAACCTCAGTAAGGGGAGGTTAACAAGAGCATGGCAGCTTAGAGCTTATGAACTGATAAAACTAAAAATATGATACATGTTTTGTAAACTAGCTGATATGCTGCTCACCATAAAAATATTTTGCATTTTTGGCAGTCCGAGACTCCCAGTAACCTAATTCCTCGCCAATAAGTGTGGCTGGCATTCAAGAATATATTTGAGGACATTAAAGAATCACCAATAATGTCCTACCGAATCCCCATGGACCACCCTTATTCCCCCACACCCACCTCAAACTCTTGAGAAAAAAGAAACCTTACTCACTCCCCTCCCCCAACCAAAAAAAAAAAATATGTAGATAGACACACATGTACAAATGCATACAAATAGTGAGGGAACCAAAAAACCATCAGCATATATGCTTAAATTAGGAGCTCACCACTTGAAAAGTTTCCAGCAATTTACCAAGCTGGTGTGCATGCCGCTCTTCATCATTCACCCCATCAAGCATGATGCACTCAATGAATATTTTTTGCTGACTGAAAGTTTACGACCAAAAATTAAGGCTCTCAGAATGACTGCAGAAGTAAAAATTTCAAGACCATAATGTAGTTATACGAAGAAATATTTACAAACTGCTGCTACCTGTTGCTTTGATATGCTTGCAGTGCTGTCATAAGTTTTTCCAAAGGAAAAGCTCTTGCTGAAGGCATTATCTGACATCGGATCTCTTGAACTGGTGCATGCAATCATGCTGCTAGGTTCAAACCAGGTAAATCACTATGAAGCTTGTTGATAGCATGAATAATCCCAACCTACATTAAATGATGTGACAAAAAAACCTGCATTAAATGAGATGCAATCACAATGCTAGTATGTAGGGTGTTTCCTGCAGTCATAAGAAATTTGTTCTTTTCCAAAGAAAGTATTCATTTCTTTAACCCTCCAAATCAATAAAAACTCATTTAAGAAGAAAAGGAGACAATATTACAAACCCTAAAATTCTCCACTTAGTCAACTTGACCATATTTTAATCACATAGAATAACAGAACTCTCCATGGCCAATCAATTTCAAATACTGGAAATGATTTCTTTCTCCAATTCAGTATCATTTGTCAGTAGATTTCACTCTTTGTAAAAAGCAAAGAAAAGCTGTATCCAGACTCAGACAGGTGAAATAAGTGCTGCCAATTGAATGCTATGGCATTGCAAGAAAAAAAAAATCCCAGAGAATAAAAAGATGATATACATTATGAATATCTACCATAACAAAATTTGGATTTTGGAGGAAATACCGTTGATACAGTGATTCTCTTTGTTGACAGCTGAAATGGTTTTCCTTTTATGACACGAATAGCTTCCACCAAGGCAGTATAGTTATTCAATGGTTCTCCCATTCCCTAAAAAATATAATAGGAAGGAAATTTCAACCATATTTCAAAAAAAAAAAAAAAAAAGCTTTTACTATACAACTCATCAGAGCTTCACAACCATTAACAATCTCCCACTACCTTCACCACTGGCACCAACAACGTAAATGCCACCATCATAATTTTCACCAATAATACAAGATAGAGTATTATCCTTCAGAAATGGCAGCAGACAGCCAGAGAACAGGCTAACAGTAGCATAGTAATAAATAGCTTAAATGATGGTACCACCAATTAGAAATTAAAAATTATATATAATTTTAAGGTCCAAATGAACTTGCACTAATCAAAATGATCCAATGCAAAACAGAAATTGATAATCTTGATAGAAGCATTCTGGAAATCCTTCAAGGAAGCTTAAGAATAAAAAAGAAATCCCCACGAAACAGAATAGTTTATGCTTCGCATAAAGAACTTAATTTTACAACTTTATATAACAAAAGTTTCACAAAACAGAAGTAGCATGAAAGTAAAATAAATTACCATGAAAACAACATTGCGTATGTTAGTCAAACGAAAGGCATGAACCAGTTTCTCCACAATTTCTCCCGAGGTTAAATTGTTCTTAAAGCCCATAGTTCCAGTGGCACAAAATTTGCAACACATTTTGCATCCAACCTATAACAAAAATAAAGAAGAAAAGAAAGAAAATTTTTTGCAGAATTTAAGGAACATTACCAAACATTTTACTTTCAGAAGCAATCGTTTAAAGCAAATACCTGAGACGAAATGCACAATGTTGACCTAGGACCGCCAGGACGAGGTTTACCTCCATATTTACCTAAACGGGTATCATATGTCATAATCACTGCCTGTACAAAAGCTCCATTCTACTAACATAATAGAAAGGGTCACAAAATTTTGCACTAAAAAGTTAAAATTAAAAAAAAAGGCGATAAATTGGTAATTAAAGATTCTAGTTCTAGGAGAAATGCACTATTCTTGTAACGAAAAAGACCTGGAGTCTGATAAGGAGCTTGGTGGTGACGCCGTCGGTGGAGGGGAGAACAGAGTGAACGGTCGAAGTGAGGGGCTTGAACTTCAAGCAAAGAAGAGGGTAAGCAGAGGAGGGCAGATCGGGAACTTCGTCCAGTTCGCACCCAGGCCTTCGGAACACATAACTTCATCAATCATAAATTCCAAATTCCCAATTATAAAAAAATTGTGGAGAAAGAGGAGGAAAGAGCAAATTACTTCCAAATGGAAGTAATGAACTGAGGGTTGATCCCGGCATCGTTAAAGTGGGCCCTAAGCTCCGAAGCTTCGAACACCGACCGATGCGTTGCCGTTCTATTTATGCTGAGGCAGCCGCTTCCTTTCTTTTTGTAGCCGGTATAACTTCTGCGATTTGCTCGAACAGGTAAAATACAGGAAGAGACATCAGTTATGCAAACTGATGTCTTTTTTTCTTATTTTGAGGGTTCCTATTAACGACGACGTTTTGCTTGAGTCAACAAATATTACTGCATCGCTATTAAATATAAAAGCAATGATCAAATTGTTGTATTTTATGACACTACGATTTTGCAGGAACCAATTGTTCATGGACAAAGCGCCCAAAGGTCCAAGTTCTATCGTTCCACTACTACAAAAGAGTTGCAATCGTAAACAGATAGACACGCTTTGCACCTGAAATACAACACAACCGAATAAAGCAAAAAAAAAAAAAAAAAAAAGGGTTTTGAAAAAGGTTTGATCAAAGACCCTTGACCTTGGATAATCTAATCAAATCAAAGGGCCACTAAAAGCATTGCTTGAGCTCTAGGAAGCCAAGAGGGACTCCACCTTTGCAATCTGATCCTCTTCGTTCTTTCTGGGTGGACTCTTGTTGGCCTCGTCAAACAAATCATGCTTCCACTTCTCAACACGAGTACCACCTGAACGATACCCCTGCCTTCCACTGAATCTATCTCTTCTCCTGAAATCACCACCACCAACTCCAGGCCTTTCACGCGATGAAAATCCACCTCTGGGTGCTTCTCTTCTGTTTGGTACCTGATCTCCAGCAGTGAGTCTATCCTGTCTGTCCAAATGTTGGGGGTTGCGGTCCCTGTCCACTCTTCTTTCACTTCCTATAACATGTCTTCTTTCACTTCCTATAACATGGTGACCAGAATGGCTAGCCTTTTCTGGCTCCTTTGTTGTGTTGTCAGTACTTTGAGTAGCCGCTGGTATCTTTTTCTCGCTAAATGCAGGTCGTTTCCTGGTAGGTGGTGGCTGTGGTAGTGGATCAGCCTCCATTTCGAAATACCTATCATGGCGCCAATCACCATTGCCATCCCCTTTGGTTTGTGGTTTCTCATCTCTTTGCCTCCTTTCATATGTTTTAGTCTCCCTTTCATCATGCTGATCCTTTGCATCCCTCCCTCCACGCTCTGAAAAGTGAAAAACAAATTGTTGACTAATAATTTTCAAGAGAACACTGCTTTTTTTTTTTTTTTAATAAGAAGAGACTACTGTTAAAGCTTCCCATAAACCCTTCCCCCCAACATAAACATAATACAACTCTTTTGACAAGTAAAATCTGTAAGATGAATATGAAGGCTGACACAAGTTGGTAAACATGATCATATAAAGTGAAATAGAAAGTAGGAAACAAAGACCAAGGAAGGAAACAACTAACCAGCAGCTGCTCTCCGACCAAAACTTCTACCAGCTTGCGCGGCATTACCACGCTCATCATGCTGTTATAAGACATGCACAGGCAAGCCTAAGATTGTTATATACATGGACCATCCAAAGTGGGGCCGAACAAGAATTCCGCTACATCAGCCCAGAAAAAAGGTTTGCACACACTGAATAACAACCAAATTATTAAACTCAAGAGCAATGCAACAGATGACTAGTAATCATTATTCAGCTCCAAATCAAATCATGCTCCATGGTCCAAACTAGCAATTCTATAGGCTCACAGGTAGATGCATAGGGATGACTAGTTTATCCATTTGCAAAGGTTTATGCAACATAATAAGCTTGTTTGACGAACCTAGGAAAGTCAAATCCCCATTTGTTTCTGATAGGAGGTTATGCAAAAATTCATCAATCATATTTAGACAATTTCTGAAATCCGCAAGGGTAGCATTTAATGAGATCTAACATAAATTGACACTGACTAAATTTTTCAATGCCCCATTAATATATTATCAGGATAATTAAACCCAAAACTGCAAAAATGATCAATGTTATTCAACAGACATACTACAAGACCATAGATGGAAAGTTATATTCCTGAACTGCTAGGAGAGCAGATAGATGTTCAGTTTTATTCATAATTTCCTACATAAAACCATCACTGTTCCATGGTTGCCACATTGTAGGCAATCCACAGCTTCAGGAGTTGAAAGTCCACAGCAAAAAGGGTTCAAACGATAATTAAAAAAAAAAAAGATTAGACTAAACCCAATAATCATACAAAGAACATATAGCAAGAAACAAAAAGGATACATGCCGAGGAAATTATATTGGATACAAAAACCTGAAAATATGATCTGGACCGAGGTACTTCAGTTGGATCAGAAGAATTTTTAGTCCCTTGATGGTGTCCATTGTTTTTCCTATCTGATTCCTTATTAACAGTCCCACTGTCGATCTTAGAAGAATCATGAGCTGACGAGGTCTCAAGGGGCAAAGCATCTTGCAACCGACGCCGCTGCCTTTCACCCTGGTCTGCCCTGTCTCCAACATCATTGTTGGAGACCACCCTTTCAGTCTCAGGTTTTCCGTCCCTCCTAGACCTCTTAGGACTAAACAAAAACAACAACAAAATATGATTACGATTATTAAACTCTATCATTGAAAACTTTAAACAATATTGAAGACCCAATTGAATACATTGAGATAATCTTACAATTCAAGGCCACATTTGGTATCCAATCAAACGTTGGAAAATAACAGAGAGAAGTAAAGAGAAGTGATTACCTGGGTTCTCGGTCGAACCTTGAACGGTGCCGTCTGGAGTCGGAATCTCGACCCTCTCTACGCGACATTGCCCGAGCTTTCCAACTTTGGAAGAGAGAAAATTTCTAGGGCTGCTTTGCTTTCAGTTGGATAGATCCTAGTGGATGGGCAGGGTTTTGTTCTGATAGAATCCCGTTTCTTTTTAATCCTACAACTTAAATTACATCATTTCATCTTCACCGTTCGATCACTTTTTCTATACTTGAAAAATCGTGGGCTTTTTTTATTTATCCAAAAAGACAAAAAACTCGTGGGCTGTTTTTATTTATCCAAACATGGGCCTGTTTTAGATATAAGGACATCCATTTATAAAATGAGATTGATTCCGTTTCAAAGTAAAATGATTTTTAAGTTATTTTTAGTGTTTTTTTTCTCTTTTTGTGTTTGGATATAAAAAATGATTAAATTAACTAAAAATGATTTTTTGGTCAAGTAAATAGCACAAATTTGAAGTAAATGTTGAATTTTTAGTCTGAATTCCAGACAACAATCTACAAATTCTCTTAAACCCATCATACACACGACTAAAGATGATACTGAGATGGATTTTTGCTTGCTTTGACTCTCATCAGGTTTCATAAATTATATATTTGATTCAATTTGATTTAATATTAAAATCTTATTTTTTTCATATCCAATTTATATACGTATAAAATTATAATTGATTTGATTTGAAATTAATTTAATATAATATTAATAAAATATTATTTTTAATATAAATTATATCTTAATAATATATAAATATAATAATTTTATTAATATAATACATATATATAAATATAAATAAATAATAAAAAATATATTTTTAGATATACATTAAATCAGATTGAGACGAATTTATCTAAAACTTGATTCCGATCCAACTCTAATTATTTTTCAAAAAAATTCAACCCAATTCAAAACCTAATTTTCAAAAAAAAAAAATACACTTTATAAAATCGAGTTAAATCAAAACTCAATGGATTAGAATATATTTACCATCCTCACTCACAATCCAGCTTAGTTAACATATAAAAAAAAATAATTCCGTTTAAATATTTCAATAAAAAAAATTTACTCTAATAATTTTAAGAGCACGGGTAAAGTTTTGACAGTGATATGTATTTTTTTAAAATAGTCAGCTTATATATTAAAAGAGGCTAATTAATTAATAAATACACATTGAAAACTTTTCTATCCAGGAAACCATTGTAATACATACTATATATATATATATATATGGAAGCTAAAAGAATAAAATATAGTAATATATTTAAGAGTGAATCAAAACAATATTATTTAGAAAAGATTTTATGTTTAAATATTTCCTAGTTAAAAATACTTCCTAGAAATAAAATAAAAAGTTTCCAAATCAAATAATTAAAATTTGGTGTCATGATCATGACCTTGATTTGGCATGGAAATATATGAAGAAATATTCTTTGTATCTTTTTCTACATACCACAACTATATAAAAAAAAAAGAAAAAACAATGAATATTTCTCATTTTTAGGCCCCAAGTTTTCTTTTTGCTACATATTTTCATTTGACAGTACTAACTTGGTTATCAATGAGTTAATTGCTAAATTGAATTGAAATTGAATCTAAAATTAAAAGTCTCAAGTTCAAACTAATTTAAAAGGTAAAAAAAAAATTTTTTTATTCCATAAAGAAATAGATTCATTTCTAATTTTGATTTCTACTTTTATTACTCCACTAGTTTTAAATTTGTATAATACACGAAAATAATTATATATAAAAATTTAATTATAATATAATTAATAAATTTATATAAGAATAAAAAAATTTTAAGATATATATAAAATAAGATATTTTTTATTTTAAATGATATGAGTACTTTTGACATGATTTTTTTTGAAAATATATAAGCTATCTAAAATTAAAAATATATATATGAAATATTGCATAAAAATGAAAAAAGTAACTTATAATTATATATAATTCATAATAAAAACACACACAATATTAAAATAAGAATAAAATTTTTTAAAAAATATATATGCACATAGACATTTTTTTTTTATTTTAAATGACATACATACATTTGAGAAGTTTTTTTTTTTTGAAAATATATAACTTATCTAAAATTTTAAAAAAAATTCATATGAAATGTTGCATAAAAATGGAGAAAAAAAAAGAATATATATATATATATAATTCATAATAAAAACACACACAATATTAAAATAAGAATAAAATTTTTTTAAAATATATATGCACATAGACATTTTTTTTTTAAATGACATACATACTTTTGAGAAGATTTTTTTAAAATATATAACTTATCTAAAATTAAAAAAAGAATTCATATGAAATGTTGCATAAAAATGGAGAAAAAAAAAAAGAAAATAACTTATAATTTTATATAATTCATAATAAAAACACACACAATGTTAAAATAAAAATACCACTAATTTGGTTTTAATGTAAGTTTAATTCATTCAGAATATAAGATATATATATATATATATATATATTAATACAATTCCATCTATTCGAAAAAAACATACATAAAATTTTATATCTTATATAAATATATATAAAAATCAAACCCTTTGATAAAAAAGAAAATAGTACATGATAACTTATATTTTTTATATGTGGATATGTTTAAAAATTACCATATGTTCTCTAATAAATGCATTTTATTTATTTAAAACATTTTTATAATTTTTATAGTAATATTTTTATTACTTAAAAAATAATTAGTTAGACTAAATTTTTTAATTTCATTTTTTTATTACTTATTATATTATATGGTTAATAATAATAATTTTTAATACATTTACAATAATTTTTTTATAATAATATAAATCAAGTGTTATTTCAAAAAGAATACCAAGCAAATTGAATTTGATTATTCTCCAACATTGTTTTACTTCAATTTTATTTCTACTATCTTATAAAAAATTTATTTTATAGTCTTGCTTATTATTTTTTTTGCAAGTTTATTGAGATTTTACTCTTTTTTTTTGTTCATGCAATGTTAGGTTTTATTTTTAGAATAGCAATTTTATCAAATATATATTTTAATATAATTTTTTTCCTTTCTAATTTATAATAAAGATAAATTTTTTATATTTTTTTATATATATGTTGAATGCGATGTTGTTAAAAAATTATTTTCTTTTGCGAGATATTAATTAGCATAAGTATAATGATTTTGTTTTATTTATGAGATTACTCGATAAAATTATATTAATTTGTAAGGTTTTATAATCAAATGTAAAAACGATCAATTAATTTGCATGCTATGCATTGGGCAATTATGATTGATTAATTGGTTGCGTATAATATTCTCACAAACCCATGAGATTCAGATCCAACTCAAGCCGACACAAAAAAAAAAATAAAAATTATATATAAAATAAGTAATTGCATTTAAATATTTTAATAAAAAAATTTACCCTAATAATTCTAAGAGTACGGATAAAGTTTTTGACAATGATATATATATTTTTTACAATAGTCAGCTTATATATTAAAAAAACCTAATTAATTAATGAAGACACATTAAAAACTTTTCTAGGAACCATTGTAATGTATACTATTTATATGGAAGCTAAAAGAAGAAAATATAGTAATATATTTAAGAGCGAATCAAAACAATATTATTTAGAAAAGATTTTCTATACATATATTTATTAATTAAAAAAACTTTATAGAAATAAAAATAAAAAGTTTCCAAATCAAATAATTAAAACTTGCCGTCATGATCATTACCTTAATTAGGCGTGGATATATATGAAGAAATTTTCTTTTAAAAATTTGTGTATTTTTTTCTACATGACCACATCTATAAAAAAAAGTTGAAAAAACAATGAATATTTCCCACTTTTGGGCCCCAAATTTTCTTTTTGCTTCATATTTTCCTATCACAGTATTAACTTGGTTATCAATGAGTTACTAAATTATATTAAAATTGATTCGAAAATTAAAAATAGTTCAAACTAATTCAAAAGACAAAAAAAAAAAAAAAAAACCGTTGATTTGAAAAAAAAATGATAGTTGATAACAATGAAGATGTTTAGCTTCTTTTTTTATTCAGTATAACACTAACATGGTAAGAATTAGAAAGGGCGAAAATAATGAAAATGAATCTTTCTTTTTCAATTAATATAAAAGAGTCAACCATTTTCAACACATAATTGGAATTTAGAAGAATCAAAGTTGATTATCTCGATTTTAATTTGAGCTTGAATTCATAAAAATTAATAAATAAAAAGATTCATTTCTACTTTTGATCTACACTTTTATTATACCATTGAAAATTAAAAGGTAAAATATTAAACAAATTCCAAAAATTAATGTGGCTACCAGAAACCCTACTTCATAATAATATATATATATATATATACATGAGCACGTTTCTCTTTGGTTTCTCATCATCCATTTCTATACATACATATATATGTATATATATATTATACATATTTACATATATATATTTATATATATGAGCACGTTTCTCTTTGTTTTCTCATCATCCTTTTCTATATGAGTTCTGTCTGCAGTTCCTCCACAGAAAATTCTAAAGGTGACTTTCATTCCCTTTCTCCATATTATATATATACATACACACACACACATATATATATATAAATGAGCACGTTTCTCTTTGTTTTCTCATCATCCACTTCTATATGAGTTTCTGTCTGCAGTTCCTCCACAGAAAATTTTAAAAGTGACTTTCATTCACTTTCTCCATTATATATATATATATATATTATATATATATATATATATCCACAGAAATTTCTAAAAGTGACTTTCATTCACTTTCTCCATTATATATATATATATATATATGCGTGTGTTTATATTTATATATTTTTGTCTTTTACTCATTTCAGTTTTTTATATGTGTTTATGTTCCCATGAAGTGGTGCTTGTATGCACATGCAACATTTTCATTTAATCATAACTTGAATTTTTTTTTTCATTTATTGATACTTTTGATTTTGTGTCTTCTACTTTGTAATATAATGCAAAAATATGGAATTCTGGACTTATATATTTGCTTTAGAAAACCCTAAGTATGAAATTTCGGACTGATATTTTCTTTTTTCTTTTTTTTTTTATATAGTAAATTATAATTGCTATTAATATATTATTATATTTAGCTTTATATATGTTTATATATTTTTATTAAAAAATTGATTGATTTGTTTTATAATTTTGAGTTTCTAAATTTGGAATTGAATTATTTGACCTTTTTTTTTTATATGTTGGGTTTCTTTTTTTAGTTTTTCTAAATAATAATTATTTATAGTTAAAATAATTCATATTATATTTATATGTACCTTTATGTTTATTATTTTTTAAAACTTTGGATTAATTTGTTTTAGTAGATTTGGGTTAGATTGTAAGAAAAAAATTGGAGTTTGCTTTTGGTGGGATTACTTTTGTAGGAGATATTTTTATTACAAATATACAAAGTATAATTATTTAACAGATTAATTATATTTGTATCTAAACAAAATTACTTTGTTTCACAAATACAATATTTGCTGATAATGCATAGAAATCAAATAATGTTGGAAGAGCATTTCTGAAAAAAAAAAATTTCAAATCAAATAATTGAAACTTGGAATCGTCTGCTAGGTGTGGGGCATTAAGAACATACCTTTGAAGGAAAATATAGGTGAAGATCGATCGTTGGAAATTCCCGTCTGTCACTTCATCAGTTGGCACCTCTTAACATTATTAACATTTCACTTGCACTAAAATCTCCAATTCTTTAATCTTCCCTTGTAGGTATATGGGGGGAAGACAAATTTAATATGATCATAACATCGTAATGATTAAATCCTTAATGTTTGTTTGGTATGAAAGATGAAAAAGATGACGATAAAAAAATATTATTATATTGTTGTAGCAAGCTTTGCTTATCACTTCTTTCTTTTCCCACTGCATGAAATTTCAGGTTGAGACTGTCAAGCTATAGCTTTCACATAATTAAACAATGGAAAACAATCTGATTATTGTGCTGTTGATCTTATGTACTCTCCACTTTTCAGGTTTGTTCATTTCCTATAATTTTTACACCTTTTTTTTTCTTGTAGTTCAGTTTGTTATTTATACATCACTGCAGTTTTGATAATTTGATCTATGTGCAAAAGGAATACTATATAATTGGTAACTGTTAATGGTTCTTGCATGCCAATTCCAATATGAACATTTAACTTTCAATCCTTTCTATCACCCTAACTGTAAAAAGAGGGGGAAAAGGTGTATTCCTATATACAATGAGGCTCATAATCATGTCCGCATAGTTAGTGCGCTTACATACATTTACTAATGCTTCATTTGGATGGCCGGTGTGATCAGTCCCAAAACGGTGTGGTGAGAATCTCTTTTCATGGACTATCCAAATGAAGCCTAACTACTTGATTAGCTGTTTTTTCTCCTCCCTAATTTTTTTATTATATTAAGAAATGAAATAACATATGGCAATAGCTATTTTGCTACAGTACTGTTGGTAAGTAATGGAAGAAAATTTTAAAGTTTCAGTAAATAAAAAAATATTGAATTGTTTTGCAGGGTTTGAAGCTAATGCATTGTCTTATGATTATACAGCCAGCATTGAGGCAAGCTTTCCTTAATGATGAGTGTGAACAAAGTCTTTTGATAGCATCAAATCTATACATTTTGCTTCCTTTTTTGTTCATTTCCAGTGCTTGGAAAATCCTGACAAACCTCTGTACGGTGGAGGAATCGTCTTGAATCCAGAGCTAAATGTGGGCTTGGAAGGATGGCATGCATTCGGAGGTGCAAAGATGAAACATATTGAACTTGCTGGCAACAAATTCGTTGCTACTCATGGAAGGAATCAGCCAAGTGATAGTATCTCACAGAAGCTTTATTTGCAAAATGAGATGCTCTATTCTTTCTCTGGTGCGCAATTTTACATATACACAAATACTTATAAATGCTATTCTCATTTCTTATATTAATGCTTATCTGGTTCATTGAAATTACTTTGTTCAATATAATGCAGGAAAAGGCTGTTGAATTTTAATAGTTTCAACTTGACTATATACTTTTACCTTAGTGCAGCTTGGATACAGGTAAGTGAAGGAAATGCTCCTGTAGCTGCCGTTTTCAAAACAGCAACAGGGTTCAAACATGCTGGTGCAGTTGTTGCTGAATCCAAGTGCTGGTCTATGCTTAAGGGTGGCTTCACTTCAGATGCCTCTGGCCCAGCCGAGCTTTACTTTGAGGTGTGGTATTTTTATTAGTTATTTTTTATTGTCCAAATTAAAGGAAAACTCATATGAGCTTTTTAATCTATTTAGAGCAAGAATACATCAGTCGAAATTTGGGTTGATAGCATTTCACTCCAACCATTTACCCAAGAAGAGTGGACATCCCACCAAGATCAAGGTATTAAAAAGGTGAAAATTCCTTTATATTTTTTTCCAGGAATTCACACTTCAATTTTTCATATTGTAGATTGAATTTTATGAACCTTAATATTTGCAGGTTCGTAAAGCAAATGTGAGAATCCAAGTAGTTGATAAACAAGGCAATCCCCTGCCAAATGCTACAATTTCCATCGTACAAAAGCAATCAGGATTTCCAGTTGGTTGTGCTATAAACAAAAATATCCTGACAAACACCGCCTACCAAAATTGGTTTACCTCAAGGTTCAGATTCACGACATTTGAAGATGAAATGAAGTGGTACAGCACTGAAGGGTCTCCTGGCCATGAGGACTACTTATCCGCTGATGCCTTGCTTAGGTTTGCCAAGGAACATAACATTGCAGTTCGAGGTCACAATGTTGTCTGGGATGATCCCAAGTACCAACCAGGCTGGCTTTACTCACTTTCTCCTACTGCTCTGTCTAAGGCTGTTGCTAAAAGGATAAATTCTATTATGTCAAGATACAAGGGCCAGCTTATTTCATGGGATGTTGTTAATGAAAATCTGCATTTTTCATTCTTTGAAAGAAAGTTGGGGATGCAGGCTTCTGCAACCTTTTATAAGCTGGCTCAGGCAACTGATGGTACGGTCCCTTTATTTTTGAATGATTACAATACTATAGAGGATAGCAGAGATGGGGCATCCACACCAGCTAAGTACCTTCAAAAGCTGAGAGAAATCCAAGCTTTCCCTGGCAACAGAAATGTCAGGATGGGAATTGGGCTTGAGGCTCATTTTAATACTCCAAACCTTCCTTACATGAGAGCTTCTATTGATACTCTTGCTGCCACTGGATTGCCCATTTGGCTAACAGAACTTGATGTTCAAAACAGCCCCAATCAGGTAATCAAAAGATTGAACAGCTAATTTTCTTGGCCTATTGGTTTTAGACAAAATTTTCTTGCAAATGAATGAAACTTTTGTACACATTATATATGTTTTCTTATATGTTAACCAATTATAGTAATATTTCTTGGGAATTATGTGGGCAGGCCAAATATTTGGATCAGGTTCTGAAGGAAGCACATTCTCACCCTAAAGTGGATGGCATTGTAATGTGGGCAGCATGGAAACCACAAGGTTGTTACAGAATGTGTTTAACTGATAACAATTTCAAGAACTTGCCCACTGGGAATGTTGTAGACAACCTGTTGCACCAATGGAGTTCTAAGGCCCTGGCGGGATCGACAGACTCTGACGGTTTCTTTGAAGAATCCCTTTTTCATGGAGAGTATGAAGTCAAAATCACACATCCTTCTTCTTTGGCTCACAGCTTTGTGATCGTTTCAACTAATGCATCCCAGCAATCGCCAGTGATTTTTCAATTTTCTGTATGAGCAAGCAAGCATAATCAGTTTCATCAGGCAATATTTAAGTTATATTTAAAATTTTTACCAAGTAATTTGATTAATATAAATGCTGCGATATTCCTCCCTTGCTCAACCCATTTTTCTTTCCATAACCTACTAATTATATATTCATGAAAGAAGATTTGAACTCGATATCTCATTTTTAGAGATAAAATCTGTTTTTGTTAGGTCCTCTTTCGTCCCATTGTAAGATTTTCCAGTTGTACACTGCTGCAATTGATCTATGAGCATATATCGCAACAAAATTTATAACAACGAAAAGATGAGCAAGTTTTTCCTCCGAATTACAAGAAAAAAGTAATGGTTAATTCATGGGAAAAGAAAACATTGGAAACCATGTATGGTAATGATAAAAATACATATATATCTACGAGGAAGCCAGTCAGAAGCTGAAAATCAAGAGCAGTAGACAGCCGTTGAAGCCTTTCATTCAAGTTCTCATAACTATAAAACATGACACGGCGGCCACAACAAGCTTGATAGCTAAAGAACTGGCGTCTTCGAAATGGTTGCAAAGCGCATCTCCTGTAAATCCCAAAGAGTGGAAACCATGGAACGACTCCCATCATAATCAGAAACAAGATCGCCATTCCCCTGTCAATGTTGTACAGATTGATTGCAATTTGGAGTTATATATATATATATATATATATATATTAAATGAGGAGAGATTAATCTATATAGTATAATTTTTTTTATTATTATACGGTTTAATTATTAATTTTAATAAATTAAAATGATGAGATTAAATTATTTTTTAAATTTATTAAAATTAAAAATTAAAAAAAAATTACATTAATTAAGTAGAACCCTTCTCTGGGAATAAATAGTATTTTTTTAAAAAAAAATTGTATTATTTGAAAATTACAATATAGGACAAAATTTTGAAAAAATAAAATACTTGCATTATTTAATAAATTAATTTTGACCCGTTCAAAAAATAAAAAAATGAATTTTGACGGCAAAACGACGGAATTATTAGGTTTGACCGCTAAAAGGAATGTTGGTCACTCCATTTTGAACCAAGTCTTCAGCCTTCACTCTTCACAAAAGCCATTTCCCTGTCCCTCCGCTTCCGGCGAAAAGTCATGGAAATTGACCCAAAAAAAAAATCAAAAACAAATTCCATATATTCTCTTTCCTTTTCTTTTCCCCTATTTTCTGTCATCCATCGGACCGCCAACTCCTCAGAAACTAACCACTAATCGCATATAAGTAGCTGCTATGGAGCTTGACGAGTTCTCGAGTTAAGCTGTTTACAGTTAATTAATTCGTGGTGATTTTTGCTCAACAGTAAGTAAAAGTTCATCACCTGGTGATTTTTTTAATTTCTAGAGTTTTACAGAAATTCTCTGATTTTTTTAACCTGTTGGAGCCTAGGGTTAGGGTAACTTTTATAATTTATATATTATGATAAAAAAGGATTTTTTTTTTTTCACTCCATTTTGACACTTAGTTTTTTCCCGATGATGATGAGATTACCTGTATGAAATAATGTTAAAATGTCCGGATTTCGAAATAGCATGCTTAGAAATGCAGCTTAATTTTCTTATTTATTTATTTATTTATTTATTTATTTTTGGTACTCATTTGTGAGGAATGTTGTCAGAAAACAAATTGATCTGAATTTCATTAAGTTCTATATTATTGTACTCTTAACTGAAGTTGACTTGAGGTTGGATTCTGATGATCAATTATTTCAAGTTGTAAAATTTAGGGAAGGGAAACAAAAAGAAGGGGTTGGGGGCATTCCGAGAATCGAACTCGGGACCTCTCGCACCCAAAGCGAGAATCATACCACTAGACCAAATGCCCAATCTTTGACGTTTAACACAATTGGTTTTTAGTTATTAGCTCTTTTCTACAAGATCCTGCTAAATTTAGATGACTCGCTGCTAACTTGTTGCCAAGTTGTTTTGCTATTAGAATGATACCTTAGCACTTAAACAAATGGTTTAAAGATGAGCTTATTGGACTATTAGGCAGTTATCAATTGATCATTAAACAATGTGTCCTAATAACCTTTCATATGTGGGACTTTGCAAACTGAATGACCAAACCTTATACTGATGCAATCAGTGGAGGTGCTATCTACTTTAGCTGCTAAAGCCGTTTGCTAATTCTACCAAGTATCCTGAAATGAATCCCACCTTGACTAGGTTTTTCACCTTTGCAGTGCATCACCACCCTGTTTAGTAAAGTCATTGCACAAGAAAAGATGAAAATGAGGTTTTGTGTTGATCAAAACTGGACATTTGGCTTTCTCATTCATTAGTTTTTCTTTCCTGAAACATTTTGTTCATTGAGTATCTATTATTTAAGCCTGCTCATCAAATGTACGTTCATTACATGCTTATGTGATGCTTTTCTTGGCAGGGTTAGAGCAGATTTCTTTTATCTTAAGACTTTGAGATCACAAGAACGAGAAATAGCTTTCCCACATTTAAAAATTTTGCATATGGATTAGTTGCTTATTTAATTTAGATTGAAAAAAAGGAGCTGGGGCATTCCGAGAATCGAACTCGGGACCTCTCGCACCCAAAGCGAGAATCATACCACTAGACCAAATGCCCGATTTTGTTGTCTATAATGTTTTCTTAGTATTATAACATCTATAGGTGGCAAATTTTCAAAAAATACTGCGTACTTTTTTTTTTTTGATGAAGTCTCTGATCAACTAGATTGTTTGTGAGTTTTTTGTTATTGGAATACATAGTAAGGTGCTTCAGAATTGTTCATAAATGAGCGTACAGGACAATTAGCAGTTATGCAGGAAATGTTCACAAATTGAATTGTCCTAGTAACCTTTTATCTGCAAGGCTCTGAAGGATGAATACTAAAGTGTTCTACTCGCATAGGATTAAGGCAGATTTCCATTTTCTGATGACTGTGATTCCAGGTATGAGTTTAGCTTGCGCACATGCAAAGATAGTACAGACAGCCTAAATTCTTTATTTATTTTGCCACATGTTTCTGGGGAATTTTTTTTGAAAACAGATCAATCAGAGTCCATAAAGTTCTGTATGATGCTCTTAAAGTTGACTTCAGAATAGATTCATCTATTCAAATATTTTACAATATAGGGAACCAAAATGAAAAAAGCAAGGCATTGGGGCATTCCGAGAATCGAACTCGAGACCTCTCACACCCAAAGCAAGAATCATACAACTAGACCAAATGCCCTATTTTTTATGTGTAGAATGTCTGGTTTATTATTATCAGATATTTTTCTCCAAGAACTTCTGTTAATTTTCAATGGGCTCATATTGGATCAAGAAAAAGAAATAATACATAGATAGAGAAGATGGAAGCACACTCAGGGAGGAGGGAAATGCTTGGCCTTTTTTGTTCTCCTATTTTTGGTTCACTATAGCTATTTGAAGTAAGGCATATATATATTCTGTTTATTTGGCGCCCTTTGTTATGCAGGTTTAAAGCGGATTTCCAATTTTTGGATGAGTATAAGATTAAAAGTACAAGAATGAACTTTTGAAAACAGCACAATTTATTAATTTTTTTACTCACTGCAAAGCAATTTTGTCAGAAAACACATGGATCTGAAGTTACTATTTTACTTTAAAGTTGACTTAACAGCAGATTCTCTGATCATATATTTAAATTTAAGGGAACCAAAAAAAGAAACAGGGTTTGGGGGCATTCCGAGAATTGAACTCGGGACCTCTCGCACCCTAAGCGAGAATCATACCACTAGACCATATGTCCAATTTTGATTTCATGTTTATTTACTAACAGTTTTCTAAGGGTTCCTATTAACTTTCAATGGCTAATACCAAGTGAGCTGCACATAATTTCTTCTGTCCTGCTTTTGATTCTCTTCTGGTATCATTTCCTTGCTAGAGTGATTGTAGTCCCTTGCTTTTGATTTAATTCTGTTATAATTTTCGTTTTAGGGTCTGATACCACCCACTGCCTCTTAATTGCATTTGGACCTTGGAGTTGATTTGAATCTTTTTGTCTAAGCATAGTAATGAGGTTAGTTTATATGGATTATGAATTTCAAGTACTTATTTGTATTTTTCTTTCTTTATTGGTTAAATGCTTCTCTAAATAGCATAGATAGCTAGTGAGTTCCGTCACGAACTTACAATAAATAGCATATTAACTTTCAATGGGCTAATACCAAGTGAGCTCCCTGTAGTTTCTTCTCTCTTGCTTTTCATGTGCTTCTAGTATTATTTTAACTTGTTACATTGATTCTAGAATCAGGCTTTTGAGTTAATTATGTTATAATTTCCCTTTTAGAGTCTTGATGCCACCCAGTTCCTCTTAAAATTGTATATGGACCTTGGATTTGGTTTGAATCTTTTTGTCTAAGCATAGTAATGATGCTCTTCTAACTTCAGATTTGAGTCAGGCAATGGAGAACATTTATGGATTATGAATTTTGAGAATTTAATTGTATTTTTTTCTTTATTTATTGAATGGTTGAGCTTGACTAATAGCTAGTGATCTTTGTCACAAATTTACAGTGCATAGCATAAGCATGGTACTATAAAGTGGTATAAAGATATGCAGAAAGTTCAACACAAAAAGCTGTTTTGTTTGTGGACCCTGCAGGCCAAATGCGAGAGAGAAAAACGAACGGTTTGACAGCTCCCTGTTTTACTTGCATATGTAAGAGGATGTTGTTAATCAAGTATTTTAACTTGCTCCTCAAATGTATGTTGATTCTTTCTGTATGTGGTAACTTTTCTTTGACAGGTTATGGCAGATCTCTTATCTTTAGTGATGCTACGAGGGTTACAGGTCAGCGTTTTTTAATATACATTTAGCAACTCATCGCTGACTGATGTCAGAAAACAGATCAAGATGAAGTCGATAAATGTTTATAGTAATAAACTTCCAAGGTTGACTTCTGGCTAGACTCTTTTGATCGATATTCAAATTGCAAGGTAGAACTAAAAAGAAAGAAGGGGTTGGGGGAGCATTCCGAGAATTGAAATCAGGACCTCTTGCACCCAAAGCGAGAATCATACCACTAGACGCAATGCCCTTCTATGTTGTCTTCAAATTTTTCTAAACACTCCAATCCTATAATTTCATAAAGAGAATTTATGTGGTTTATTTTCCAAACTTTAGCCATCTAAAGGAATAAGTAGATTTGATTTTTTATGTTCTCAGGCCATTTTGTTTTCTTGTTGAGAAAATTGTGACATTGGAACTGCAGACCATTCATGTAATTACAAAATCGGAATGATAAAAGGGCGCCTTGGGAATCAAAGCCGGAAGCAGAGGGCACATGTTTCAAGAAGAAAGTTGGCACATGTTTCTACTTTTTTTTTTTACATCAATATGCAATACATTTCTATAACCAACAAACGCACAGAAATTATCAGGAGGTTAAAACAACTAGTAAGTCTAAAGAAAGAGTAATATAAAGAAGATATGATTTTGGGAAATTGAGATTTGAGAATAATGATTGTTATGAAATTTGAAAAACCTAAATTAAGGTTTGGATAATTAAAATTAATAGTATTTTAATTATTTGTATTTCGTAACAAGCAAGACAGTAATACTAATAAAATAGTATACATGAGACAGGTCGTATGGGAAGGTACATCGATATCGAGTAAGGTTGAAGGGGTTTTATTTTATTTTATTTTTTTGTGCATTTTACCGGTGATCAAAAGTGATTAATCACCAAACTGTAAAAAGCCAGGCCCATTAAGTGGTATGATGAGTATCCCATACCAACTAAAAGAATAGATTATATATATCACAAAGATCACTTCCTGGATCATGAAATGATGTGATGCTGGGGAATTCATGAACACCAGACAATTTTATAAAATCAGGAAAGTAATTAAATAAAGAAGGAAACTCAGAAAGTAAAAGAAACCAACCAGAAATCCAGCTGGCCTTTTCATGATTAAATTCTTGTACTCAATGACCTTGGGGCAAAAAGCAAAAGTTCAATAAAAGCTAACTGCTGTATTTATCTACCAAAAATTTCATCAACACAAGTTTCCCAACTCTCTTTTTCACTTTGATTTTAATCCATTTAATTTGATTACTTCAACATGCAACTTCATTAGCATATATCATCTTGACCCAAATTTTTAACTTTGGGAAGGAATCCAATTTTGCATCTTTTTTTTTATCCTAAATTTCATTTCTATCTGTTTCTAATCCATAACTAATGATTAATTAACAAAAAAAAAGCTAAAAATAAAACCCTTTTGACTAAGAAAAAAAAAGCAAAGAAAATCTACACCTGAATCTTTATGCAATTAACATATGACATTTGCATTTTTCTAATATTATCTATACACTGAAGATAAGCTGTGAACAATTTTAGTTAGTAAATTAACTGTCAATTATTGCCAATTTCACCCTTTTATCCTCATTGTACAACTCAATTTCAGTTTGATTTTTCTTAAATACAAATGTAAGGGAAAATTTTCTTATTCTGGGATCAGTATTCTTGGGAAAAAAATGAAAATTACAGATTGATATGTAAAGCAAATGTCAGAATACAGGTAGGGAAATTGCTTTAAGAAGGGTCAAAGTCATAGCAAAAGTAGCCAGGTCATTCCTATCAATCATCTGTAAATCTGCTTTAATGTGTTGCCCGCAATTCACTGCAGTCCACATTTCTTTTCGCCCCTTTGGTTTTTGTTACCACTTTTTCTATTAATAAAAGGAGTGGAAGGTAGAAGGAGAGAATCAAATTGAAGAACAAGATCAGACTGCAAGGCAGAAACGAGTCTTTGCTTCTTCACAAAGGTTAGTGATCAGTTGAAACCTATAGCCTTAGGGAGCAAAAATGGCAACCTTTGCCGGGACTCAACAAAAATGCATGGCATGCGATAAGACTGTCTACTTGGTTGATAAGCTGACGGCTGATAACCGGATTTACCACAAGGCTTGCTTCCGATGCCACCATTGCAAGGGTACTCTCAAGGTAACACATTTATCATCTATAATTTCAATATGAGTTAATTACATTTTTTTTTACCTTAATTTCGAGAAAATATATATATATATATATTGATGTTTAAAAGAAAAAAAATCATCAAACTTTTAAATTATATATCATATTAATTAAACTCTAATTTTACTAATCATATTAGCTTATATATCTAACATTTGATTAATATTATCAAGTTATGTGTTCATCAAGCATACTATCAACAATTTTTTTGATATAAATTAAAAATATATTTTTACTTGAACCATAAAAATTGTTTAAGATTTATCAATTATTTTTTATCATATGACATCTACAAAAAAAATTATAAAATATTTAGCAATCTTATTTAATAAATAACTTACGTATAATAAAATTATATTGGTTTGATATCATATAGACGAATTAAATTAATAATATTAGTAATATTATTTGAAAATTTAAATGCAAATTGTATATTTTATTTCTTTAATATCAATGTGTACATTTTTTCACCTAAAAAATGTTAGTAACTCTTTCAATATCAATATGACATTTCAACATACGTTTAATTAAGTTGTATTGATGGCATTGCAAGATAACTTGTAATTTATTCATGATTATGAAAGTAAAAAGTTTTTATGGTACAAAAGAGGTCAGTACCCTGAAGATAAAAAAGAAATTACAGGCATTCGAATTTAAACTTCAGATTTACTTGTGGATTCCGTAAAATATAAAGGAAAAATTTAAGAAATTCTTTTAGTAATGAAGACTAAAAAGGATTGTTTTTCAAGGAAACAGGGAAAGAAAAAACAAAAGAGAGACAAATTTACATTTTACAGAGAGCATGAAGATGATAAGATCAAAAATGGAAAATTCTCATCTATGCATTATTCTTCAAGAAATCCTTTATTGATTTTTGCAGCTTAGCAACTACAACTCTTTTGAAGGAGTGCTATACTGCAGGCCTCACTATGATCAACTCTTCAAGAGAACTGGCAGTCTGGACAAGAGTTTTGAAGGTAAAAAAATAATTGTAAATTTCTATTGAAATACCATTAAACGGTCTGCTATAATTTCTGTTTCAATGTTCTTTCAGGAACACCAAAGATTGTCAAACCTGAAAAGCACATAGAAAATGAGGTAATTCTTGGAAACTATATATTTTGTATTTGCCACCACAGGTTTCAGAATCTTTTTCCTAGGTTTACTACAAACCCTGCCATTGATTGGTACTGAATTTGTTCCAACAGAATGCACAGAAAGTGGTGAACTTGTTCGGTGGAACCAGAGAAAAATGTGTGGGCTGTAATAAGACCGTGTATCCAATTGAGAAGGTAATCAAAACCCATAATTTTTGGATTAGAAAATGTATGCTGCCTGTATGTGTATCATTGAGCAAAAATATGAAATTTGAGTATGATTTTATGTTGTTTAAGGTTACGGTTAATGGAACATCATATCACAAGAGCTGCTTTAAGTGTACCCATGGAGGTTGCACCATTAGTCCATCAAACTACATTGCACATGAAGGAAAACTCTATTGCAAACATCACCATATCCAACTCTTCAAGGAGAAAGGAAACTACAGCCAGCTTGAGAGTGACCGCGACAAAAACTCCATCACTGACAAACTTACGTCTATGGAAATTGCTGCTGAGTCATAGCTTACTGCCTGAATGAAACTCTTTTATTATTATTTTCCTCGCCATATTCCATAACCTCCCTTGCAAGATAAGCTTGTATGATGTGCCATTGGGTTATTTTTCTAAGTGGAGTGATGAGCTATTGAACATAAGAGTCTGGTCATGGTTTGTTTCAGCATTTGCTTGGAAGTATACAAATACGATTTCTGTGGCTTGAAACATCGAATTTTATTTGCCTCACTTTGAGATTTTCCTTGGATGGTTTTTAATTTATTCCAATTAACCTGCAAAATGAAAATGAAATCTATCTTTGACTAAACCCCAGATCTCATTGGTGGCAGTGAAATCGTTGTTCACCTGTCAAAAATCACAATAATCCATGACTGTTTCTACAATAAAGATCAGACAGGGAAGGAATCCAAAAGAAAAAACAAAAGGTGGAAAATGGGCATCATCATAAAAGCAACTATAATGGCTGACAAAATGAGGACTCCGGTTATAATTACTAAGCAGCGGGAAACAAACCACTATAAAAACTGTTTGTCGCATAACTTTTCTAATAGACTTGACTTGTACTACCTCTTTCCCAATTTTTTAATTTATTTTTTAATATATCTCCAAATTATGTTTAATTTTTTTAATATTTAAAATTCTTATTTTTTTATATTAAAAATCATAAAACTTTAATTCTATAATTTTTTTAAAAATTTTAATATTAAATACATTAAACTCAAAAATTTTTCTTAAACTCTACGAAAATTAATATATGATAAACATTTTGAAACTAAGGGAGTATAAAATAAATAAGTTAATTGTAGTTTTGATACATGATTTTTTAAAAAATGTATAAATTATTATTAAAAATTAAAATATATAATTTGTATCTTAAATTTTTAAATAATATATCATTTAATTTAAATTTTAATATTGTTAATTTAACTCACTTTTATGATATCTAATCAACATAATTTTATTATATGTATATTATTTGTTAAATAAAAGTATTAAATATTTTGTTAAAACCTTTATGTAGATGTCACCTGAAAAAAAAAATGATCGATCCTATATAATTTTTATAGTTTAGGTAAAAATATATTTTAATTTATATTAAAAATATGTTGATAAGATATGTGATAAACATATAATTTGATAATATTTATCAAACGTATTATATATGAGCTATATGACTAACAAAATTAGGGTTAGGATCAATATAAGTACATAATTTAAAAACTTATGGTGTAAATTATACACTATTTACAAATTTGAGGTGTGAATTATATATTTTATTTCTTTATTACCCAATTTATATATTTTCTCAAAATTCAAATACCGAATTATAATTAACTCATTAAATCTACCCTTTTTTTCATTTGCTATAGTACTCATAGCCTCTTTGATTCTGAAAACAGTTTATTAATAAAATCGTTATTTTTGCATAAATGAAAAAGGTTTATGATGAGTCCGAGAGCTTAGATTGTTCAAGTGAATTCAAATTTTAATATATGCATTTTTTTTTTTAATTTCTGATTTCCTTTGTAAAAAAAATTACGCAAAATGAGTATTATTACCCCGTCTTGGACTGTAAAATAGATATTCATAAGATAAAATAACAAAGAAAAGGTAATGTAAATGTTAATAGTATTTTAACTGTAGAATAATTAAATGAGGAAAATGAGATCGGACGATATGTTCACAGTTTTGAACTACGTGTAAATTAAGTTTAATTCTATCCATTGATGGAGCCAAAAATATTGTTGGTTGTAAAAGGAAACGCCCTGTTTAGTGGAGAATTGGAGTGGCAGCGAACCTTTGATATTTTGAAAGTAAATTGTAAACGCATTTGTAAATTCAGCTTCTGAACAGATTAATCACAGACAGATGTATAGTTTTCTCTGGGGAGATACCGCTCACTCCCCATTATCTGTTGACAACTCCATTTTACATTGTAGTAGCTATAATAAAAAAGATTACTGGCTGGCTGCTGACCAGTCATGGAATTCATCCCATCCTCAGCTGCACAGATGTCAGGCATTCTCCCCCAGGAAACAAAAATTTTGCTTTTCTTACCTCCCTGCTGCGACAAAAAGGGTGGCTCTCCTGATTTACCCATTTACTATACGGACAGCTTGGCATCACAAGACTGGAATAAAAATCAGCAAGAGCAAGGTCTGGTTCTTTCCTTCAATATCTGAGCAGCAAGTATCAGCAGATCCACAATCTCAAACCCTGCAGCAGAAACTGAATCTATTTTCTCGCAATTGGAATCCTCAAACATATCACCTGGCTCACTTTCCATACTTTCTCCAATTGATTCACCAACTCCCTCGGCTGACCAACTAACTGGCAGTGAGCTGCCAAGGGCAGTCTTCACAAGTTTTGCTTCAGTAATGATCTCATCAAGAGCTTCTGACGCATTAGTATCAGTAACTTCAGAAGGAACAGACTCTGTTACCTACAAAACAGATTAGAACTTCGTCATTTGTCATTTGATTCAAACAATAAATAAGAAAGATACTACTAATAGTCTAACCCAACTTAGCTTCAAATGGTCAATTTACGTAAGAAATTCCATATGAAAGAACATAATAGTAAGAATAAATATTAACACCGGTAATCATTTTTTTTTCCTTTATCTTAAACTCAATAAACCTCAACAAAATTTTGCATGAATCACCATTCCAAGTCGACCATCTATAATATTCTAGAACATAATACCCCACCTAATTCCGAAGCAAAAAAACAGTGAACTCCACGTGCTCTTGAGATTGTTTTGCACACAAGAGGGAACACCAGAAGATTACCTTAAGAAGTGAAAGACACAATCTGTGAAGTGTAGAAGTCAGGTGGTCCACACTTTCCATGCTCTCCTTCAGTGAAGCATTTTCAATCCTCATTCTGTAAAAGGCATAGTTATAACATAATCCACATAGGTATCCATTAACTACTGAAAGGTTGGCATACAGAAAAACAGACATCACTTTGCTATTTGCATGCATAAGAACCATCTATTTACAGTCAAGTATTACATGCCATGTAATTCAAAAAATCAACATTTTTTCTGGATACCTAGCAAAATCCGTGCTATTTTGCTGAGCTTCAGCTTCATTTCCCCTGGCATCTAGTGCACCAACCCAACGTCTCAGATATGTTTTCTTTAGCAGATTTCTTAGCCTTCCATCCCTTTCATAATCAACAATTCTTCTGTCGTGACTTCAGCCAAAACATTCCCTTGTTTCATATCATTACTGATTTTCCTGTGACAGGTGTCACCTTCTAGTTAGTCGTATACACAATTTAGTTACCATAAGCAAGAAAAATATTGCTCAAGCATGGATGCACACAATGCAAGAAACCAAGAAAACAGAGATAATGAACAAGAGGGTGAAAAGTTAAGATATCCAGATATATGATTAAACAAGGACAACTACAAGAGGAATTTGGCCACATTCCTGAATCCTTTGGAAACAATATTTTGTATCGGTAAAAAACATGGCAAATCCATTCCTTATCTAAATCATTCTTTCATTCACAATAAGGGCAGCCCCATAATTTAACTTTCCAACTTGGAGCTACTCACAAGAACATAAAAATGTATAAAAAATAAGAATAAAACCAATAAAATAATAGCATGAAACAGAAAAGAAATCTTACTCTTGCAATAACTGATATTTCCGCTTTAACTGTGCCAACTCCAAGAGAGCGTTCACCTTTTCATTTGTAACCTGAGTCATCCAACAAATTCTTAGAAGTTCATTTTGATGAAAAGGGTATAATGCAACTAAGGATAGAAATCATTCAACAACCAAGGACGAAATATATACTATAAATAATAGTAAATCAAACAACACATCAATGCTGAAGACCAAAGGAGGAGGCTTTTTCTTCCCGTACAACAAGGAATAGTAACAAAATCCTTCAAGTCATAGTGTCTCTTGAAACTTATCAAGTTTAAAAAAAAAAAAAAAAAGGAATAAAGGTTTCTTTGACTTAGTAAAGTAGACCCCAAAATTCTAATGTGCAGTCTAAGGCCTCTAAGCATGGACACATAGTAATGTTAGTTCAGGTAAGATACGATCATTAATTTATGTACATCAAGAAAAACTATGGAAAATAAAATGCAGCTCCATCTGAAGTTAAACCAAGAAAGTTACTTGAAGCAAATTTCTCTGAAGCTCGTCTATTTTTTTCTGAAGAGTTGCATTAACGTTTCTCTCCAGTAAATGTCTTTCTTCCTGTTGTGATAAAAGCAGCAGTGCCGCCACCTGAAAGAAGATTTGAAGGCTGAGAAAACAAAATGTAAAAATTACCACAAACCAGACCATAACAGGACAGAAGAAACATCTAAAACCTTTTCTTGCAATGCCCGTGCAAGGGCTTCTGACA